TTTTTTTGGTTTTTTTTCGGAAGGTTTAAATAACTTGGCACAAATAATCACCACCGCGTGACTATGTGCTTATGATATGCATGGCACAACATATATGCCATGGTTGATTAAAGGTCAAGAAGTTCACATATTCGTGTTCACTGTGGAAGGGGATTTAGCTGTCCTTCAGACTGCCTTGTTTCCACTTTTATAATGTATTTTGTAAGGCAAAAGTATATTAAAATTGTCTTTACATGCAACTTTATATCTAGTAAAAAATTACCGCTTTCGTCCGACTTGAAAACTTAGTATTTTGCTTGTTTGTAAAACCTGTTTGTCAACACGATGTTTCCAAAGACCTGGAAATATCTTGAAAAAATTATGAAAATCTTCTTTTAAACAATCATACAGAGTCATTTTTTTCATGGAATAATTCAAACAAGCTTCAGGTTTCATCACACTCAAAATGCTTTTGTTTCCCTTTTTATATATAAAACTGTCATGTCATTTTGGGCCATTAAAGTAACATAATTTATGTTCATGTTAACAACCTAATTTCAATAATTAACTCTCAACATGTAATTTTTTCATTTAACATACACAAAAAAATAAAACAAAATCATCTCTGTTTTTCATTTAAAACAATATTTACTAAAACGACACATAGTTGATAATACTACTGGTATATTGTAAACTTTATTTTCACTCTTCTAAATCATTTGATATACATTGTAAGCAGATTCGAATTAATTTATTTTAAAAAAACATGAAATCAAGTAATTATTAATAATAAATCAAAATCAAATGAATTTGCATTTTTCAAACACCAGAATCAACGTTATGTTCTTACTTCCGGGAAAAAAGATTGTTATTGAAAAGAATGAGCAGACGACATTTTATAAAAAAGAACATTCTTTTCCTCTAACGAAATCATTTTATTTTTCAACTTCATGAATATACGAAAATGATATCGGGAATTAATGAAGTCGAAATGTCACCACCGGTCTTTCGTAGTTATCAACAGGATAGTGTTTGCATCGATCAGAAAGTAACATTAGTGAACGTTCGAAAGTATTGTTTTACTTACTTCCCCTGTTATTCTGTTTAATTAAATGACAGCTAACGAGCTCCTTGCATGCTGATGTACTTGACATGTTTGAGACATTTCACATTAAATACCCTAATAAACTCCCTTAGCAGTAGTTATGCACTGAAGGCAATTATCCAAGTAATTTTTTACGACGAAAACTGTTTGTTGTGATTTATATAGAGGATATTGAATGAGTGTAAGTTCAATACTGAATTTATTGCACGAGTTGAATAAAATTATAATATGCGAGCCTCTGGCGAGCATAATATTATTTTATTCAACGAGTGCAATAAATTCAGTTATGAAGTTACACGAATTTAATTATATTCTATTTATCACATACCCAAAATTAAGACCGTTTAAGGTAAAACAAGAGTCATTTTTCATTGACGCTTCTATAGTATAAGGCTAACATTAAGCGTGTCTTTACACTATGTTTGAATAATGCTAATGACGTCACGTCAAAATATATGCACGGCCGTGCAATACCATATTTACGGAGTCGCAAAGTCGGCACGGGTGTGTGATAAAACCGAATATGAAACCTACGTAAACATTTTTTAAAGTGGACGATGTGTCAAAAGAACAAATGAAATCCGTTTCTTTGAACTTCTCAAATACTGCATGGTTGAATGTTTTGACATCTGCGTGTCCTTGACAGACAATCACCCATGAAATATTGAAGTGCAAATAATGTCTAGGACTTCGAGGTCATCTTTTTATCATTTTGTATTCGCGACAGACATAAACGGTTTTGACGAACCCGGATTTATTAAATTATTACCGGTTTTGCATTAAAAATAACGCAAAGATTGACCCTTGGTTCGTCTCAGCTAATTTTAATCGTTTTGATGAGGTGTTAAAAACGGGTTCTAACAAGTTTTGTTTCCTACATGTTATAGATGAAATAAAAGAAAGCCTTACCTTATGCAATCTCCAACTGTGATAAATGCATGTGTCTATAATTGCCTTGTGTTGGGAATGACAGAATGTCCTTATTTACGCGATGCTAGTATTTGTTGTAAATTAAAGGCTTTAAATTAAAAAGAAAATGATTAAAATTGTTTAACCAATGTGATATTCAACTAAGTATGTAAATGCATTTACCCCAGAATAAGAAGGGTAAGACATAATTATACAATAAAGAAATCTAATGTTTCGCGAAAGTTTATGTACATTTTAAAAGAAGCAAACTGGCTTATTTGCAAACAGTCGATTAAGTCATCTCTGGTGAAATTTAAAAAAAAATGCATACATATTTCAGAGAGATGGCATTGCCAAGGATACATTCATTGACTATCGTCCTTTGCTATCATATTTCTTTATGCAACAGTGTTAGAATGTAATATATTCAGCGTGTTATATAATTTCTGAAATATCTAAACACTAGATATCTAATATCGAAATATCTTTTATCTATATATGTAATATCTAAACCCCTACTGTCTTAATATCTAAATAACTGATATATAAATAATAAAAAAAAATTATGTTATATCTAAATATGAAATATATAAATATCTACTATGTAAATATCTGATATCTAAATATCTGATAGCTAAACATTGAATTGTTGCAAAGAAACCTAGCGGAACATCTTATCAAATGAGGCAAATGGCAAAAACATCGTTTATTAATATTGTTAAATAATGGATTTCAAGCATGTTTAATGCTTATCACTTGATGAAATGTGGTACCATATGTAAAATTATCTTTCATCAAAGTAAGAAATGTAAAAACAAAGTGGTATTTAGACTTTTATACGAAATATTTAATCACTATAATTTACAATATATATGCTAACATGCAAAAGATGGTTCAATATAAGGTAAGTTAGTTATTTCGTTTTGAAAACTTTACATAAAAAAGGCTTTGTGATTGAAAAATATATGGTTTTGAGTCTAGTGGGCCTTTACAAAAGGTTTTAACTTTTTTGCAAAAAAATATCTTGCTTAACAACTGCCCATAAATAAGAATTTAATTAAGGTCACTGAAATCTTTGCATTCGCATCCAAGTGCATATCACTGACTGTTTGCGGTAAAGTAAAGCCGGATACATGCATATCAAATTACGTTTAAAACATGAAATTTTTCACTTCCATTCAACGCCAACTAGTAAATTATAGCATTGTAAGCATGTGTAAAAAGCTGTATTGTATCTTGCTGATATTTGATGTTTAATACTTAAAACGGACACTACTTGCATTATGCAGAATCATTTTCTTTTGAAAAATATACTTTTGATTAACAAAGGAACTTGGTTTTAATTGTATTTTGAAATGATTTTGGTAACTGATATTTTTTTAAATTAATACCATGATTTAATAAAGCCAATGTTTATGAACACCTCTTTTTCATTTATTTTCGTATTATCATTTATTTATTTATTATATTTTTGAATTTTACAATTTAAAAAAGGACCAAACCCCTTAGATAAAAATATCTTATATTAAAAGTCCAAAGCTTCTTAGTCATAGACATTCGCAATATAAATCGATGTTAAATATCCAAACACACAGGAAAACACAATATAATAAGACCCAAAGCAATAAGAAATAAAAAGATAACCAATCGTTTGCATGCATCATATAAATATGCAATATCTGTTTTTAAAATAACGTAAAAAACAATGTAAAATACATAATCGGTTTAATCAAATATATACAGCATGTAAAAGATCACAATTTTAATGTGAGAAGTACACAATATAAAAAAGGATAAAAAAGTGTAAAATCAAGAAATTATCATGTGTAAGTTCAATTTTTTTCAAATATAGACTTACACAATTCTTTAAAGAATAAACCTCAAGTCATATTAAAAACAATGTAAAAAAAAAGCAAAATCTCTTTAATCTTAGAAATACAAAATATAAATTAAGCCAAACATTTTGAACACAATATTAAAAATGACAAAACCTCCATTTTTGCATAGAGATACATAATAAGAATAGATCATATATTAATAGTTATAAAGATTCTTGACAGGTTATATGACCCTATATAAACGGTTGTTTGTATATATAACCTGAGACGCGAGGCGGCCATATAACATGTCAGGAATCTTTATGACGAATTTATAATACAACAAACTTCCTTCTTTTGGGAAAAAGTAATTTCTGACAGAAGCCGTGTATATAAAGCTATGTAAATGTCACGATTATTCAATGAAAAGCGACATTACAAACATGCAGTTTTATATACACGCAATATAAGTATGTCAAATATGTTTAATCATACAAACACGCAGTTTATATGACAACTATATTTAATCAAAGAAATACTTAATGTAAAATGAAAACTTTTGAATCGATTTGGTACACAACTAAATGTAAATGATAATTGTAATAAACAAATCATATATACAACCACACGCATGTGTATTCTATCTGTTAAAACCAAATGAGACCGAAAAGTCTCTAGAAAAGAAACGAAATCATAAAAAGGTACGTAACTAATAAATTCAATTTTAAGCAATCAAATCAACCAAAACAAAAGAAAGAAAGAAAATTGAAAGAGTACTGTCACATATAAAAACAAAGTTTGAACATGTCAAATTAGCATACTCATTCATGCTGAACTTTCAGATTTATTTTACCATTTTATATTTCATGACTTTTTCTTTGACGATGTAAACTGAAAGAGCAGATATTTTCAGGAATATATCATGAAATTTTCATTATGATGAATTTGTGCAATATATAAAGTTTCCGTTTCAATTTTATTACGGTAGATTTGAAAGACCTTTTCACATCTGCATTTAGCATTGTTGAAAATACTTTTGAATCGTTTTGCTTACTTGATAATAAAATATGTTTAGGTACTATATTAAATAAAGCTAATTAGATATATTTACAATTGGAAAAATAATAAAATAACCTATAATAATAGTCAAATCAACAAGGTAGTAGTTAGTAATACAATACCTTTACCGATATAAAAAGAAATCTATAAAAGTTAATTTACCACATTAAAGTTTATTTGATATTCTGTCTTGAGATAACAGAACAATAACTATTTTATCCCATGATATTACTGAAACAATGTCTGAATCTATGTCTGTCCGTTCAAATTTCAGTTTCATATTTATTCTCAACTTTTGATTCCAAAATCTGTGAAGCAACAATCCACATATGCAGAGAATGAATGCTGAGGACAGAAGTTGGGATATCGTGAACATCTACATCTAATCCGTTTAGATCACCAAACGCCGTAAGGCAGTCCATCAATCTATATTTTAAACAGAATGCATTTTAAATGTTATACAATATATAATTGTTACCAGTGTTTAATGAAAATAACTTAATTTGATGCATTAAAGTGTTTAAAATAGTTCATGCAACAGGATATAATGAAACTTTTCAACAAATAAAAACAGAATTGTAGATGAGAATATGATTTACATTAAAAACAACATGAGCTTAGATGAAACATATTTAGAGTCTAATAATAGTTTAAATACAGCTACAACTACAAATACTTTTATTATTATAGTTGTAATTATAGTTTAATACATACACAGCGCATATCAGTTTCATTTAAAAGTATTGATTGAGTAGAGTATAATCGATAAATGATGCATTGCAGGGTGCAGTATTGTCACTGACATTAACACAAAGACAAAACAAATAATTAAAGACAAGTTGATAATTATTTTGACTGACATAATCACCTAAATTGATTTAAGTAATCTTCGTCATCTTTATTTTCCCTCTTCGCAAGTTCCAGCATGATAAACTCGTACAATAATTCCAGAAACTGTTTCAGGCGCTCCATTGATAGTTTCTTCGCAAAACTTTGACATACTGACACTATATCTTCTGGAAATGTCTCGTAGTATTCACTTCCAATGTTTTCGAATATGACCTAAATATTATACACCAAAGAATTGATAAACTGAATTTCAGGTTTTCATCCATAACGTTATTCTGTAATATGGTTCTTAATGTGAAAATAACTATAGAGTGATACAAGTATTTGTTAATAATTTTTATGTGTTAGAAAACAAAAGTATTTAAAGTGTATTCATCTGCAATGGGCACATTTTCCATAAGTATTTCAAAGATCGATAAAGACAATAGAAATGTATCATTCTTAAAAAATATTGCTTATAACATTTATATGATGAGCAATAATATTTTGTTCTAGAACCCTTTATGATCTGCTACATTAATATATCTATTTTCGGATCATGAATATCACACTTGCTACAGCATACTTGATGATATGTCTGATTATACATGCTATTCACATAATTATTTATTGATTGGAAACAATTTAACTGCTTAAACATCTATAATAGTATTACTCGTACATCAATCTTGTTTGAAAGTCCAGTTATGATTTAGAATTACCCTAAATGCAAATGAACAGTTTTTATAAGTTATACAGAATATAAGTACCTGCACTTGTTTGCCTTGTCGAGCCATTATGTAAGATCTATGGAATGAGAAGTTCATCCACAATGATTTGACATGCTTCAAAAGACAATGTTGTTGAATCTGAAACAATAAGCATCACACATTAAATTTTCACACCACATCATTGGTATAATATGCTTATTTGTTATCATTTTTACATATTATTTCTACTACTTTGATCAACAAAGACATCTTTCTTCTTTTTGACCAAAGTTAAAAAGGACTTACCTTCCATGTCAGCTTCGTGCTTGTAAGTTGTAACTTTTCAAGCATATATTCATGCAAAGAATCGCCAGGTTCACCGCCTGTTATATTCAGGAAGTTAATTGCAATGTCCAATTGCGAAAGTAGTTGACCTAGGCTTGGAACGTCTTGAACTTGGTTACACAAAGCAAGTTTAACACCAGGATCTAATCTCTCCTGAGATGACAGTTGAAACAATAAAAAAATATAAGATGTTACACACAATGCATTAGCAATTTACAATACAAATATTCTAGCAAATAAAATAATTGTCAGTATTGTAATATCAAAATGAAAAGCTTATATTTTAGAAATTCTAAATATTATTTAAGTTACAAAAATATTTCTTGATTCTACATATTTAACAAGAGATAAACAAAATGTTGATACATATAAGTAGTATATGTGATTGTGATTTGAAACAAAACTGTTAAAACAAGGGAAAAATATTTTTCCAAACCTGTGGAATTTTGGTGTGCAAAATATGAAATTGACTTGCTTCTGATCTGTAAACTAAAAGGTCAATCTGAAAAAAACACAAATTATTAGCCTTATATTATTATAATGATAAAGATCACTTTATACACTTTGTGACGTTAACACGTATCAATAAAACATTCTTAGAGGTAATAACGGAGAAATGAACGCATCATATATTTTAATTCTGCAAATATCACACACAGTACCAAATAATTTCTTTCACACTTTTAACATATGGTAACTGTCCATTCAAATGTTTATTTTGCTTACCACTTTTTTCATTTGGTACAAAAGATCCCAATAGTCTCTTATACTACGTATTCTGTCAATTTTGTTGAAATTATTTTCGATAAACTTTCGTAACATTACATCTGATCTATATGAGGGTATGTAGATATGTTTTGTAACATGGTGAAAAAAATGCATATATTAAACTAGATTTTATTTCAATCCTTCCGAACTATCCTCAACTTATGTATATAAAGACAAACTATCAGACGTTTTTTTTCAGATTTAAAATGCTTTAACAAACTTATTTTCGAGTATACTCCCTAACGAAAGATGAATATTCCAAATCCATCTCTACTGGCTATAACCCAGTTATATCGTCTTTTGAATAGGAGCGTTGTCATTGGAAAAAAGAATGAATAATGTTTTATACCGTTTTGAACTTTATTGTAGTATTTGTCAGTTTTCTTTTTTCATGTTAAATGAATTTTTCTGTGACAGCTTCATGGGTATTAACAAAAAATCACTTGCACAAATTTCTTAACATTTTAACGCTTATCAATTGTTTCGTAATACTAGTATATGGTCGACATTTTTACATTCATCTACTAGTGCAGACTATCTTTATATTAACTAAAATTTGTAATATGAAATGCAGCATGTATGTATTTGGTACCATTGGAAAAAGTACGGAGATAATTATAATGTACATATGCATTGAATCAATGGATTATAAGGATGTTATATGCCATATTGTTCCACAAACTGACCCACCATCGTGAATGAAATAAAACATTTATCATTATAATAATAGTAAATAGTCATTTGTTTGAGAAACAAAAAAATGTATAATTAACAACCTTGAAACGGCGGTCAAAGGCAACCTTTGACTTTGTCGAAATAAATCTGTCTATTATACGTTTTTGTATCGCCTTAAAGTCATACTCGTCACTAACGATGTGTGTGGAACTCATTGTACAGTTTTCTAAAATGATCGGTAGTAGATCTTTCTCTGGATGGAAGTTTATCAAATGAGCAGCTGTAATATCTCGAGGTTCGACAACCGTGAATACTTGTTTCATTTCGCCACTATGGATGGAAGTGTAATTATTAAAGTTTTTCAATAATCAAATAAACTTCATATAATACAGAAACAGTTTTGCAATATGTTAACAAATTAATGAATTTCAAAGCAACGCATGCAATTTTATGAACTTTTAATTCCCGCTGAGCTAAATTAAGAAAGCATCGGATAAGTTATCGTAGAGTCGCTGGTTCAATCCTCAGGCGAGGCAAAATTTCTATTCGATGATTGATCTCGGACACTCATTTGTCTCTAACTGTTTATATACAAACCTTGATGGTTAACCAAGTAGGCCACATTAAGTGTAATTTGTCATAACTGGTTAGTTATCTAGTAAGGTAGGCATGGTGAACAAGATATGTCAAAAATGTGCTAAAATAGGCATTGGTTTTAAGTATATTATAAGCCATTACAACTAAGCATTCCTGATTATGTTAAGTATAGGAAAATAACTTTAATAAAACAGCTACATAAAGTTATAGAGATAAATAGATTTAAGCGATATGATTGTCTTCATGTTGTCATAAAGCTTGTCTAAATAAATTTTTTGATAATAATGCTATAACGTTGTTTTAGTGTTTTACCATAACTAATATTTTCGATATACACATTTACCTTAATGACGATAGGTATGTATCTATAACCTCGTTTTGAAGCCGTAATAGAAAGTCCAAAAGAGCAAAGGTACAAATGCCTTTCCCATCGATCGCAGGAAGCAAATATGCCAATTCTGTTTCATCTGTTAAACGCATGTTTGCCCATTCCAAAGGTATTGCCGTTCTACCTTTGCCAGTTGTAAACTCTATTTTGGATGTAATAAAATCATTAATTGTATATACTGATCTTAAATTATCACCCACAAATATAAAAAATGATTAACATACTAGAAACTTATTATCATTAATGAAGATTTTATGTAAACATACCATGATATTTCAACGCGTTTCTGACAGTTTTCCAAGCTTCAAACATGTCCTCGAAGAGTTTTGCGTCTTCACCGGCAAATACATCTGTAATATATTTAATCTTAATGTCCGATCGATAATTCTGGACAGTTTCAGCTTCAGTTTCAGTTTTTATTAAACCAAGTCATATAATATGCAACTGGTTATAACAAACAAACAAACAGAAAAATAACAGTAAAAAATCACTTTTATCACAATAAAAAATACAATTATGACTAGCTAAATAAACAAAAAAAGTAGATCATATTGTTCATTTCAACTACTGAATTCAATACTTCATGTATTTACATTTTAACAAATGGGAACGGAGAATGAGAAATACTAATTATCTATATTCTAACATAATGTTTTAACAAAATAAAGATAGTTTCAGTATATTTTTTTTGTCACAACTATCCATTAATCTGTCAAGTTTAAAATTATTGGGATGAATATAAAAAATGTGAAGAAGAGATTTGCGTATACGTCTCATCTCAAATGAAACAAGTGAGGTTTTACGCAAGCGTAAAATGGATGCGAAGGAATTGGTTAAATGGAAAGGCATAAATCAAATGTTTTTGATGAATGTGAAATGATTTATCACAAAAGTAGCAAAATGTGATAGTATTTTGACTGTCGTCTAAATACTAAATTACCATCAATAAACTAGCCCCCTAAATTTATCGGCAAATTATGGTTAAAAATTATTCTGGAAACATTTAAATAATAATCAAACTTTGTGAAGTTGAAATTTATGGTTGAGTTATTTCTTTAATAACTATTAATGTTTTTAGCCAATCGATTGCATTACTCCGACGCCCTTTTAATTTGCGGAAATCATATGAAAAAAGTTCCATTTCTGGCCTGTCAGGAAACATCGAGTCACTTTTACATGCACCATAAGCACAGAGTTTAGTTGTCTCTTTCCTTTAAACAATGAATTTGTTTTTCAACTTGTTTTCCTTTAACAATTGTATATAATAAAATGTATTAAAATATTTCGTGTAAACAAATGTTTAATCGCTTGTCTAAAGTCAGCACATGTGACCCATGGGTGATTGGGTAAATTCTATTTTTAGAATAGTGTTAAAGAGGAATATCTAAATTCAGTAACGTCGCACTGGAATTCAGCGCAATGGTTTGGTCTTCTATTTCTTTATTCGCTACCTCATTATAGGAAATTAACCAGATAAACAGTCTGTTATTTGTTTACGGAGATAAGAATAAATTGTTCGTCGAATGGACAAACATGTAAATAACCAATGTTTCTGCAATAAATTGAAAAAAAAGAAGAAAAGAAGAAAATTGGAAACAAAATGTTTAGCATAGGCATGTGAATGTTTTTATTTACTTTGCAATAATTTGTAATACTCGTAAAATTAATCGTGTCATTTCGCAGTAAATCATGCGACATTTTCAACTCATAAAAGACTCGGCTACTTCGCAGCCGCCAAATAAAACAGACTAAACATAATAAAATGGCACGATATGGAAATTCAAATATATAGAATACCTTCCTTTATTTGTTTAACTGTAATTTTTGATGCCTCTGACTGGTATATCTGTCTATTGTATCGTTGTATTAACGTCTTGTTAAGTTGCAGAATACTTGGAACAAACCGCAATGCTTGTAGTGCATTTATCTTTAAAAAACATAAACATATTAATGAATAATTACATTGCTTTAATTGTTTTTCTTTATGCATTTAAACTCCGTATCATTTCAACCTTTACGTAGTTGGCTGAAAAGGGGCAGCAAAAAAGTATTTGTTAATTTCTTTTAACATACAAAACAATTTTGCCGTGTTACACTATTTTTTAAGCATGTTTAACATTAACATTGTTCACAATAGATTGGTGGTCTTGCGTATTTATATCAATATATACCTGTTTTAAAAACATGGAAAGAACAGTAAATTTCTTTTCGCCTGATGAACATGTATCCATATGTCGTTGAAAAGCCTGTTTAAAATGCTCAACCGAGACAGGTTTGCGATAAATCCAAACTAAGGGATTGTCAGATATTTTACTATCTTCTTTGTTTTCTTGTATATTTTCATCGGTTTGTTTATCATACAACACTGCTAGAATACCAGTGGTGCTGCATCCTGTATACAAAAAAGCAATTGTAATGTAACATACAAATTTGTAGAGCATGTTGTTTGAAAAATTTTAATTCAAAGTGGAGGCATTTTTTCAGCTTTCTATCATTAACCTTTAACCCCTAAGCATATTGCGAAAAATGGCCGTTTTCATTAAAAAGCCTCCTGTAACAAGTTCAAACTGCTATCAAACTGAGAAATGCTTCAATACTGATGAAACTTGGCACAGATGTTGACTAGACCATAACCTCTATAACAGCATGCTAAATCGTAAATTTCCTGTTACCATGGCAACGGGGGGACGTCTCAAAATTGCAAAAATCACTATTTTGCATTGCATTTTTCAATCAATACTGATTTCAAAGTACTGCAACTTCTCAATGAATTGAGATAGAGTAAAAGGCTTTTCAGCGTCGGTTACTAGTTACATTGAGATCGACCTGAGGCCATTTTTAGCCTGTCACATGTCCAAAATTTTCTTGGCGATCAGGGGGACTACCGCCCCCCTTCAAACCCCCAAACAGAAACATTTTGATGGGGGCGACGCCGAAAAAGTGGTCACTTTTTTAGCAACAATTCTCAAACGAAAAACAGTGCTTGGGGCCTAAATAGGGCACTTTTTCACTGTTTGAGGACTAAAAAAGGGGAATAGGGACAAAAAGCCGTCAAAACACGCTTATTTAAGGGAAAAGGTTAAGACATGTGCTGTATTTTCTAAAATGAACGTCAACAAATAGAAGAAAAAATGTTTCACAAAAACATTTTAAGGAGGCTTGATATTTAAAAATTTTTTTTTAGAATGAAAACTAATTATAAGAATGCATGATACCTTTCCAAATCGAACAATTATTCTATTCTATTCTTATTCTACTAGTTAATAGAAAAAAACATAACGAAAAATAAATTTGGGATCTTTGTTGTGGCTTTGGCCTAAAATGCCTATCATTGTTTTGCTTATTTTAGTTCAATTCATTCGCAGATAACTACAAAAACTGGGAAAATTTGTCTACAGGACTTTTGTTTGAAAATACTGTTGGTTTTGTTTTTATAACGCATTTAATAGGGTGAATATCAGAAATCTTTATTCTTTTTTATTACCGCAATGTGTTTTATCTACATTATCTATCTTATCCAAAAATTGAAAATATTTTGTTTTGTATGCCAGCTGCCCTGCAGAAAAACTTGACCTTATTGGTCGAATATTATGCCGGCATGAAATATTCAGTGATTATTTTAGTTACATAATGAAATGTGATGGATCAATTGTTTAAACTATATAGTCCAAGAGATGGCGGGGTTTTATTGCAACTTACTGTATCACAAAAACAAACATTGCCATTGTTAAGCATATGGTTTGTAGTTTTTAAAAAACGATTTCTTAAGTTACGCAGCCCGGGCAAAAGGTCAAAAAATCAAGATGGCCGCCAATATGGCCGCCATAAATTACAAAATACCATATATTTTTTGTTTCTTGAATTTTTACTTTAAGATTTTGTACAAAATAGTTTTAATTGCACAATATCAGATAAAATATGGTTATTTTATGATTCAATCAAGGAAAAATGACAATTAAATGGCAAAATTTTAAATTATCAATATCAATTTACCAAAAAAGTGGTAAAAATAACACTTTTTGACAATTTGATGACTTTCGTTTTTCTGTATTAACACAAAATAAATGAAAAAGCATTTAAATTATGAGTACTTTATCAATTAAACATAGCTAGACAAGTTAAGCATAAAAAATCATTATCCGTGCATTTATGCCTTAAGAGTAGAGTTTCAAATATGGGTGGGGTAAAATTACTGATTTAAAAAAAAAAATTACAATGTTCCCAAAACATGTCTTTACTCTATAATTTGAGTTTAATGTAAAGACAATTGTGTTTTAATTGTATATTCTTTATCATTTGAACATTTCTTGATAACAAAAGCATATTTGTTTTTACCAGAGCATCTATCACAGAATAGTAGAGCTTAAAAAGTGGTTGGGGTAATACAATCCCCCAAAAACGTTCAAAATTAAGAAGCTCCTAAAATTTGTCTTTCTTTTATAATTTTTGTGCAATAACCATATATTATTTAAATTCTGTGGTGAAATTTATAAATATGTATTACATTTAAGAAGAAAAGAAACATCATGTTATAGCAACTTTAAGATTATCACAATTCACCAAAAATTAAGAAGGTAAAAAAACAACACCGTTTTGATATTTTGTGGCCTTTTGGTATATTTTTTTGACCCAAATGCTACAGTTGTTTTAGCTGAATATAAGCTGTATTAGTTTTGCATAAAAATCATTACAAGAGAATGTATCCCAGAAAGAAAAGATAGTTTAACAAATGGATAGGATTAAATGACTGTCATAACACTTTCAAAATTAAAATGCTAATGGAACATGCTTTTACTTGTAATGTTTAATAGTCATGTTTTGCCATATTTTGACAATTTTTATCAATAAATTGTGTTTACGATATACCTAGCATAGTCATCTTTTAGTATAACACTTTTATTGCAGATATCTTTTGAAATCTTCTAAATTCTTACTGAATATTTTACTTTGAATGACAGAATTAAATTTTTTTGGAATGCTGCACTCCCTATTGCTGGTCAAGTTAATTTGATCCTTACAAAAATGCCAGTTTTAATGACGCTTTGTACTTGTACTGTGTTTATCTATAGTGTATGAAGTAAAAACTTCTTAAATCTTGTATGTGTGTACTCAAAAACGGTTTATTTTATATTTAAAAAGAAGCTGTATAACAAACAGAAGTATTTTCAAATTTCAATATATTAATTCTCTAATCAATTAAGAAAAAAAAACATCGTTCCATGGTAAAGATTTTAGTTATCATAATTAATTAACACCAAAATGAATCAAAAACAACATTCTTTGGTTACTTTCGTTTCATCTTTGTAACAAGAAATAGATTATATGTGTGATTTAATTGAAATTGTCGCTAGGCATGTTTCTCAGAAGAATAACACTAAAAAGTGTGTGGGATAAAATTGAACTTAAACCTGAAGACATCAAGATACTTAATCAACATACTCTTACGGGAAGAAACAGCTTTATTGTGCTCTTTCTAATTTTGACATTCTTGATACATGTTTAAAACACCTGTAATTGATTCTGTTTTCCTTAAAGGCCCACTGTGCCTCAGAAAAGCTTTTATCTTCCTTTTTCAAACGATTTTAAATTTTGGTGTAGTTTTATAGTATCCAAAACGTTAGTCACTGGCCAATAACCTGAACCATCAAAACTATCTAAACTAAAAAAACAAGAGGCACACTAATATATCAATCAAGAACCATGATGTACGGTATGTGTAATGCATTTTGTGAGAGTGTAGTTGAGAAATTTGATATAAACACGAAGAAGTGTTGTCATTTATAAAATTAGCAATCATTTATGAATAAGTTTAGTAAAAGTAGTGAATAGTACTGAACACAAAACATCCAAATATTGAAAACATCTTTAAACTATCAATTAACATTTAGAATACTTGTCACAGAAATACATACATCTTGAAATTATGAAATTTGACTTTTTTCCTGTTGGGTGTTTCTAGTATTCCTTCGTGAATACTAAATATCACCCTCAAGGATATGTTGCCTGATTAAGGAGCTGTCCTTTGGTGACTTTTCTCTGATATGAAGACCTCATAACCCTAATTCAAAAATTTCAATAATTAAGCATTACACAATTTTGATATTTAGGTTACACACATTCTTTTACTTGAGATCATACGCTGCCTTTCAAGGAGTGGCGCAATATTATTGTTACATTGAAGATCCATTGATTACCGTCTTAGGAACTTATCTATGGATGTTTAAAAATAAAAATTTCACTATTATAAATTCACTACATTTTTGTTTAAAAACTGAATTTTGCTTAAGCCTGTGCTAGACGACGTTGATGGAAGCTTGCATATACCACTGCTGTCTATGAAAAGGCACAATCAAACTGAGCGTACATGTGCCATATTGTGTGTTTTAAAGCTTTCCGTTTTTCATTCTATTTGCTAGATTTGCTATATTTTTTTCTAAACAATGCTAGTCTGGCATAATTAACAGGTGTGAAAAAGGAGCAATACAATCCCTTAAGAACCTCCAATAAACGGTAAAATTGAAAATGTGGCAGACTTGATTTGATTGAGCCTGTTCATGGATGGTACCGGAAAGTGCAAACAACCGTCCACACCCCTTAGCGCCGGCTTAAGGATAATTCAAAATTTAACATAAAATAGTAAAATTTGAATTTTGCAACATCCGCAATTGTGTTTGTACGGAGGTCATCTTGGAATTTTCAATGTGAGACTTTTCAGCCAGTACATGAAAAGTGGCGTATGGTCCTACAAGTAACAGAATATGTTTGGCCTAATGAGAAAACAATGGATGATACAGAAATTGGGCGTTCTATAACAAATGTTTGGGTCTTATTTCGGCTTTCGTGTTGGGTTTTCATTAGGGATTCTGTTTTAATATATTTTCGATCCACCTAACTGGATTTCCTTGATAATTAATTAGCAAATTTCGCAGCAACTGACCCCTGCTTATCTTACATGATTTCTGAATGATCTATTTTCAATGACAAATTTACTTCATCAAAGGATCAAGCAAGCGACATCTTGATTACTAATCTGATGCTCACCCAACACTAACTCTCGTATACTCGTGCGTGAAGTTATTTAAAAATGCATCTATGAACTAATAACACTAATCTAACCGATAAAACCGTCAAAGTACTATTTTGATATACAAGCGTAACTTTTACTATTCTAGCTGTCAAACTGGTCTTCTTAATTTGCCACAAAATTATGCCTTGGTAGTGTTTATTCATCAATCATATTTTTCTTGGACTGACTGAACAACCATGGGGCGTCCGTGGCCGAGTGGTTAAGGTCGTTGACTTCAAACTACCTGCACCACACCGCTGTGGTATCGAATCCCGACAGGGACTTTGGATTCTTTCATGTGAGGAAGCTATCTAGCTAGCTTACGGAACGTCGGTGGTTCTACTCAGGTGCCCGTTTGTGCCTGAAATTATTCATGGAAGGGCGCCTGAGGTCTTCCTCAACCAGTAAAGCTGGAACGTCGTCAAATGACCTATACTGTGTCGATGTGACGTAAAACCCAATCAAACAAACAGACTGAACTAACAAGGCATAATTTTGTGGCAAATTAAGAAGACAAGTTTTACCTTGACCTTTATGATCAAACTTTTTCACAATAATAAATTGTTTTAATGTTCTGCATAGTTAAGCAAAACTATTTTAAAATCTGTAAATAAGTGGGGAGTATATGGACTGGACATAACTATTAATGCAGTATCATGACTTTTGACATTCATTTGTGACCTTGACATTTTAGATAAACAACTGAATCTTGTTAGCTAAATATCCATTTAATAAGCAGCATGTTTACGCATAATATTTCCAAAATCTATCAATTGACAATAATTACCTTAACCTTCAAGCCCGAGACTTGATTTTTTCTTGTGAATCTGTGGCAAAGTGGTTAAGGTCGTTGACTTCAAACAACTTGCCCCACACCGCTGTGGGTTCGAATCCCGACAGGGACTTTGGATTCTTTCATGAGAGGAAGCTATCCAGCTAGCTTACGGAAGGTCGGTGGTTCTACTCAGGTGCCAGTTCGTGCCTAAAATTATGCACGAAAGGGCAACTGTGGTCTTCCTCCATCTGTAAAGCTGGGACCTATACTGGGTCGGTGAGACGTAAAACCCAATCAAACAAACAAACAAACAAAGAAATTTCTTGCGAAACATGTCGGCAACACATCTATTCAAATCAGAAGGGTAGACCAGACAAGAGTATCAATACATGAAAATGAAAAATTAGAGGTGACTTTGAGCAACATTTTAAGCGTGAGACACATCAGATCAAATTAAAGAAGTTATGCATAATTGTTAAAAATCATCCATGAATGACAATGTCGTGGGAAAGACACAACCATCTTTTAATCATATTATGAATATGGCAGTACAAGTGAGACCTTGCGTTGATTTTTGAATGTGACACATCGATATAATATCCAAAAACATTTGAATTAAGTTATTTCAAAAATTCGTCCAGGAATGACAGAATTATTGACTTGACGTGACCATCAGTGCACAATTCATGCAAAATTTAATTTGTCCATAAATGACATGTTTGGACCGCACTCAAAGTATGGATTATGTAAGAAGGGGGGCAATGCACAAATTATTATTCCTCATAATTTTTTGTAGAGGAGGGGCATAAAATGCTGTCTTTATTTTAAGTATTAAAATTGACTTTTTTCTTTTGTGCAGCATGTATTAATGCGTCTATACTTTATATTTATATATGTATTTAAATCGTATTTTAAGTTTTATTAAGGCTTAAACACCTCTTGCTTTCAACTATTGCAATTTTCTACGACTGTGATTTTATTCAGTATTGTATTGGCCCAACAATTCATTAATGAATACTTCTTACGTCAATGACAATTATCACTTCTCTTTTCATTCATGTTAGATAGTATTGTAGTTTAATTTATACTGATGATGTGTCAACCAAAACTAATATTTATATCAAAATGTAGTGAGATCGAATATCTATTTTACAATTTTTACTGGAAGAACATTATAAAAAAATCTGTTTCAAAAAAGTATATCTCTATACAATACTTATGTTTTGAAAACATTTTACATGCCATCATCACATAATTGTTTAACAGATATTATAGAACAAAAAAGCAAGCTGATGAACATTATAATTAATGGTTTGGGTGTTATTGTAACCCACCAAGCTCTTCAAAGATATATGATAACTTTTATTAATTTGTCAAACCATAACCCACTGATTAAAGACAGACAACTGTGACACAATTTATTCTACTTTCTATCAAATAGATATATCGAAAGGCAATAAAATCTATGTTTTGGTACCATTTATTTGTTGGCAAATTGATTGTGATAATTTTAAAGATTGCTAATACGTGATGTTTCTCTCTTCTTAAATGTAATACAAATTTTATATTTCTTATTACAAAATTACATGATCAATGAACTCAACTTGTAAAGTAAAGGCAAGTTTCAGAAGCGTGATAATTTTGAACGTTTTTTTTCTTCTTTTTTCTCTCTTTCTTTCTCGGTTATTTTACCCCACCAACATTTTAAGATCTACTCTTCTGTGATAAATGCGCAGGTACTATTTTTATGCTTAACTTATCAAGACATGTTCAAATGATAAAAAACATACAATTAAAACACAATTTCCTTTACATTAAACTTAAATAACGTAGTAAAGACAAGGTTATGAACATTTTAATTTTTAATATTATTTTCGGTAATTTTTTATCCCACCTACTTTTGAAACTGTACTCTTACAGCTTTAATGCACAGATAATGATTTTTATGCTTAACTTGTCTAGCTATGTTAAATTGATAAAGTACTCACAATTTAACTGCTTTTTTTATTTATTTTGTGTTAATACAGAAAAACGAGTCATCAAATTGTCAAAAAGTGTTATTTTTTACCACATTTTTGGTAAATTTGATAGTGATAATTTAAAGGTTTGCCATTTAATTGTGACAATCATGTTTTCTTGATTGAATCATAAAATAACCATATTTTATCTGATATTGTGCAATTAAAACTATTTTGTACAAAATCTTAAAGTAAAAATTCAAGAAACAAAAATTATATGGTATTTTGTAATTTATGGCGGCCATATTGGCGGCCATCTTGATTTTTTGTACTTTTGCCCGGGCTGCGTAACTTAAGAAATCGTTTTTTTTAAAAAAGAACTACAAACCATATGCTTTATAATGGCAATGTTTGTTTTTGTGATACAGTAAGTTGCAATAAAACCCCGCCATCTCTTGGACTAATACATTTCCTAAATGTTCATCGAAAATAACAAATAACTTTTAATTCTTTTTGAGTTAGTCAATTCAATATTGTGATTTAAACGACGAAATAACGAATATCACTGATAAATACGGTTCCTGATCATGCTTATACTTGAATTTTATCAGTAACAGTACTTTGGTTATTATGCAAAACATATTTAAATATTCCAAATTTAATACATACCTTCTAAATATCGTTTGGCTAAATTCAGTGTAGTTTTCCTTTCCTGGTTAGAAACAAATGAATGTACATAAGTATATTTCATTATTATCATTTTTATACTTAGAATATTTGTGGCGCATTTACTTATGGCACTGACGTGTCCTATGTGTACGTTACTAACATATTGCAAAGGAATCAATATTTTGAACTCAGAGATTCATACAGCTTTCATTTTGAACAAAAAATAAATAAATGTTAGACAAACGAAATAAATGACTTTCTATTATATACAGGTAGTGCAACAAAACTTCACTGACATCAATTCTATGTATTCTATGTATTTGCAAAAAACAAGTCTAAGAGCATGTATATGAATTACCTCTAAAAAGCGAGTTAGAAAAAGTTTGGCAAATTCTTCCTCCCAGCGACCTCGTCCCAGTTTAGTTTCCCAAGGTTGTTCCTCATTTAGAAGAAAATCAGTACTATGAAATTGTCCAGAACTTTCTGTCTGAACCTCATCTTCACTCTTGCTTTCATTTTCAATGCGATGCACAGATAAGGTTTCTATTTCCTCATGTTTGACTTCATCTGGCGATATTTGCTGTGGCCATTCTCTTGCAGACGCAATACCTATAAAACGTTGATGTACAGTTATTCAATATTGTATAAGTTATAGTAGTCATTGACAATTGTTTTAAAATAAAAAAATCATTAATTTGTCAGTCTTAATGTTCATTTATTTCTATTATCTTTTGGAAAATCAAAAACGTACTTACAGTCAGTTTGTATCCCTGTTCTTAGAATAGAATCTATCAAGCTATGCATTAAGAGTAGACATTCGTCTCTGTTAAGCGACATTCCGCACATGAGATCTTCAAAGTCAACTAGTATATGATCCCAAATGAACGTTTGTATCGAATCGGGTTGTTGTTTAACCATTACAGAAACATCCTTAAAGATGAAACGTTTGTTTTAATGTTTGCTTTTTTTCGATTTAGAAATTTAAATAATCATTTATACAAGTAACATTTGAACAATTGAGTGAAGAATATTCATGTAAATAACATCAAAGATGTTTTAAATATTAAATGATAAAAATTATGTTATTCAAGTTACTCAAGATAAAAAGCCCACTTACACTCCTATGAAATAAGCACTTAAATTAAAAACAAGGCTTCTGGAATTCTAACATAAAAATATTCAAATAATATGATTTTTTCTCGTTAATACCTACATTTTGTGAATGTCCGCATCCTAAATACATTGACAAATGGAGTAAGCACTTTAACAATGCGTTTTGCAAAGCACTTAATGATCTTTCTGGTACAGGTCCCGGTTGACGGTCTTCAGGAGAACCTAAGCAATGACCTTTCTGTGAGCGATCTGATCTACAAATTTAAACATGAAATGCAATTTTAGAGTATATAAATGATGATTGTAACTACTTGTAAACATGCCTTATACATAAATAAATGATAATTATCTGGCCTTGACCAATCACAAAAGCACTCGGTTATTTCTTTGAAATGGTTTATCATAAAAATGGGTTCACACATACTCAACATATCATTACTTTGATATTATATTTGTTAATAATTACTTAGCAATACCATTCACCCAAATTTCATTACACACCTTAAACATTGATAAATCATATCTTTCAAACAAATTTATTTCAAACTTTTAAGCCGGTGCTAGGGGAGTGTAAAAAGTAGCTTTTTCTCATGAACAGTCTCAATCAAACAGAGCCTTCGATTCCAACGATTTCAATTTTGCGATTTGCAGTTTTTACATGGATTCTACTTTTTTCTTTATTCAAAACGTTTTCCTTTATCGATTTTATATCTATATTTCTTTTCTCATGTCTTAGGAGCAGACTACAAGAGAATATACTCATCCTTTTAAGATGTCAAATTAATTTACAATAAACTAATGTTATATATCATCATTTCTCTAAATAAATACTTAGTTTATGTGCTAATGACACTTAAATTTGATATCTGAAAAGATACCCATTATCTGGTTCATTTCCACGTTGCATCATAAAGGACTCTCCACGAATATCAGCTCCACACAAACATTTTGCTTTCACCAAAGGACGTCCAAACTATGAAATATAACAACATATTTTTTTGGAAATGTTATTTAATATTTTAAAACTGTAAACTATAAAGTAAAAATCACTTATTAGGGAATATAAAGTGCGTTTCGATATTTCAAAATGTAAACTGATCAACGCGTCACAAAAGGATATATTTGAACATTTTGCAATTTTGAAACAGCCTATAAAGTAACTAATTTTAGAGATATTATACCTTTATATATTTCTAAGACGTCAATTAATTTCATAGTTCAAAGCGTATTTTAAATAGGTGACTTAAGACTTTATCACTTGTATAATTGATACACATAAAAAACAACAACATTTGTTTATTATTTGACTAGCCTTACATATTCTGAAAAAATTGTCTACATATTTAACCAGAAATTCAAATACAGTAATTTTCTTTGTATACAACAACGACTTCAGAACTGAAATAAAAGTACAAATTGATAAAGAAGTGTTATCTTTACCTGTCCTATCTCATATCCGTGTCCGTTCTCACATCCTTAAATTGAATTTGAACAAAAAATCTTAAATTTTATTATCTGTAAATTTCCCAACAAATGCACAGTTACTTGTAATTAAAAATCAGAAAAAAAACTTTATTTAAAATAATCACTAGCCTTTAACGTATGTTTACTACCAATATACAATAAGATTATTTGTTGACAAAAAATAAATGATAAATAACACATACTTTCGCTGTTCCTGAACAACACTTCCTATTAATGAATAAACGTGCCGAGTTTCTTAACAATCACGCAATCGGAGGGAAGTCAACATTTATAATAAAAAAAGCGCAGTTTAAAATATGATCAGAATAAGAATCACTAATTGTTGTAACAATTTAGGAAAAGCCAATTCATCAATAGAATGTTTTAACAGATGACAATGCCAACACATTTAAACTTGTACTACCAGAAGCACAAAATGCTCTGATAATGTAGTTTCATTTGATTTTATATCCTCCAATAACATTTGGTTTAAAAATGTAAAAATGAAAACCACAATGGGTATATATTATAAGCGTTATATCAGCAACTCATGCCTATATATAGTGTAAGATAAAAAAAAAAGAATTGTATCATATTCACATTTGGAGTACTGTTCAAAGTATTTTAATTATTGTCTTTGTATTGCATTTACCTCAGATTGAATATAAAAATTAAACTGAGAGATTTCGTCATTATACTTACCGAAGGAAACATTTAAAAGTTATTTATAAAAATAGTTCAAAGAAATATTAGAAGTGCATTTAATGTGTGTGTGTGCGTGCGTGCGTGTGTGTGTGTGTGTGTCGTGTTTTCTTTTAATTCGTCCGATTACATAAGAGACAGTCATCTGTTGATGGAAATAATAATAAAAATAATAAAACGTACTGTAGTACTTGGTTCTTTCACCAAATAAGGCTGTTTCGCCTTCATCCAACATCTGTTGTCTTATCATTGCCAATTCATCTTCTGGCATACATGGTAAGAACACGTCCTAACATAAAATAACTAATTCAATATGAGTGACAATTTCATCAACACTCATAGAAAAAAGGTTAAAACATTGTTGGTGTTGCTATATAACTATGTTTGGATTTCGCTACAAGCTTACACAACCGATACTTTAAATAATGGTTATACTATTTATAAATGATCTTATAATTTTGTTATTTACCTTAATTAGGAATGACTATGTATGCAATAAATATTGATCAATGAGTTATTACATTAAGATATACCTTTAAATCCCCAGGTTGAAGTGCTAATTTGAATAAAGGTCTCAGAATGCCATTGCGAGAACAGTTAAAATGTGTGATGACACAAAGCCAGTGAAACAAAATGCATTTTATGCTCATTTCACGATCTGCAATAGTTCTTTTTGAGACTTGTATATTATACTTCATATGAATATTCGCATCCAATGCCAAGAGCGAAGCCTGGAAATATCAAAAAGGAAATGTGTTGTGTTATAAAAGTAAATACATTTGATTTAGCTAAATTACAAATATAAAACATGATTGCGAACGCATTTATATTGGTAAAATATAGAATAAAAAACATACGTTTTGACATCTCTCTTTGAACTCTTGTCCGATTTTCTCCACAAGTTTGTGTTCCTTTGAAAGAAAATTGTATACATATTTTTTGAATTAAACAGAATTGTAATATTGAATTAATCGTTTGGTGCAGTACATATTCAACAGGTCAAAATTACTCAATAAATCATATTTTCATACTTTATTATGTTAAATCACAAAACGTTGTTTATTGCATTCAATATTTATATAAATATTTGTTTTGTAGCTTTATTACAACTATACAATTACGGTCACTATCAGGTAGATATTTGACATATTATACCTGTGTTGTTGTAATACTGCCCTGAATGCGGTGGTGAAGTAGAAATTCCCGATGGACAGCAAGTTCAAACATTACGACTAATGCTTGATTTTCTACCATCGACTGAAACAGGTATATGAGGTCAAGCAAACAGTTGTCAGCAAAATACATTTAACTTAACTGCATATTTGGACTGGTGAAAAAAACGATAAGTTTCATTCAGGAATTTGAAAGCTATTTTCTCGAGCTATTTAGGGCAATTGTACAAATATCTTAATAATTTATACAAGTATCAAAAATGTAAAATCTCAGTTTGAGATTTTTTTTATCTTTTAAGAAAGGAATGTCAAAAATGGAATAAGCAACAACAAAAAATAAACGCGATAGAAACTGAATTTTACAATTATTGTAACTTAGTGTTTGAAATTATTTTTTGTTCAATGAGATGGCAGTATTTTTCAATTTTTTAAAGCATTTATTTTAGTAAATGAGCTTTAAACAACCAGTGCTACTAACCAGGTAAATCGAATGAACTGATTTACCTACGTTATTCCGCATGTGTACTTGGAGGCGGAGCTACAAGGCTATTGTTTTTGTTTACATTTATGGGATATGGGATGCACAAGAGAAGTGATCATTACTACATAAAAAGCAATTTGAGAATTTAAAGCAGTTTTGTTGTCAAGAACTATGCGTCTTACTTGAATGTATGGAAGCACTTTGTCCTGTTCACTTTCAATTAAAGATGTCAGCAGAAGACACTTTATGGTACAGTATTCCTCACCACAGGCAGTGTACATATCAACAGTGCTTGTGACCTGTGACCAATGATCAATATCAAAATAAATTTTGATCACATTACATTCGTGTGACATGAATAACTTTCAATATAAATAAAAAAAATTTGTACCTGCCTATTTTAAGTTCAGCAACATTTCTTGGTTTGTACCAAAAGTTCGCATATTACTTAATAAATAAATAAACTGGGATAGCGTTTCTAAATTTATATTTTTATGTTAATTCAAAAGAATATATTTCCACATGCAAGATGTCACAATTTATAATATGGACGATAAGTTACAGACATTTGACTCTATGTAGTAAAGAAGTGACGCAAGTCACAAAATTTCGACGTCAACGAGTTCTATGAAAGTCGTTCTTGATAATCTATGATCAATAGCAGGGCCATCCAGCGTACTGGATCCGTATGCATTCCAGGAATGTCTGGCAAAATTATGTGAGCAGAACTATTACTGTTCACTCATTTGTAATATCTGTAACATACTTAATAACTTTCGCTCGTCTGTCTCAATCTAGTAAATCATTAAAATAGAGCCAAATGCAGCTTTAAAGTAGTGGCAGTCTTTTCGTTCTGAAATCGCCTGCAAAACACATTTTCACCTTTGATAAACGCCCGTATCATTTTCGTACCTTTTCATTTGTAACTGGTTCGTTAAATCGTTCGTGATGCAAGACAATGTTAATGTTGATGTATGATGTCAACATTTTTAATGAATAAGTTGAACGAGAAGCTAAAAATTATAATTATACTAAATTGACTGCGCAGTGGATATAAGAACAAATTTGTTTTGTTGACGAGAATCGTAAACATTTGACGTGTGCCGCTTTGCAAAATATCGTGTGTTTTTTTTTAAATCAAATTTAAATAATTATTATGATAAAAATTCCATAAAATATGCCAAGTTAATAGATATTTCAATAGTTAATAGGTGCGTTTTCTTAATAATGCAAATAAAACGTTACATTTTTCTTCATGGAAGTTTAATGCGAACTTGTTTTGACAAACCTTGTATAGTTAGGGATACGTTACAACGCATAAAAATGTAATTATGGATTCCGTTTAAATATTCCACATAATAATAAGACTTTTTTTGTAATAATTGATACATGATTCGAGTGCAAGCTGTTACACATAACTCCACAAACAACAATACAATATTTATGAATTTGACTTAAATATTTGTTAAGCAAATATAAACGATACACAGCCCTTACATTTGCATCCATTGCTATCCAATTCACCATGGCATTCGAACTTTTACAGGCTGCCAATAAAGTATCAGTTCCGAATTCTTGTGCAAGGTGTTTCAACAAGAATTTCCTGGAGAAAGCAATATAAAATGATTGGTTAATATAGGTAAAATAAAACAAAATGTTTAACACATTATCTAGCCGTCGCCAAGTATGTTTTCATGCACTAACTTAAATGTTCAAGTTTACAGCATTTTTGTTACAAAAGTGGTTACACATTTAAATGTACTTCTTGTCAGCAAAGTACTTTCATGAATATATATCTAGACATGAAATATAACTCAAGTGCGAGAATGAATACCATATTAATGTTCTCTGTTTACATAAAGACTCTGCCACTTGAAGAACGGCTGTGATGCCACCCATTTCCTTGCTTCCATGTTCTACTTTTTGCTTGGTAACCAAATCTATACAACTTGCTGTAACTGATAGAGCAGCTCGTGCCTGTGCTATGCCATATATTTGGTCAACAGAAGTGCTATTTTGCTTAAGCAGATGTAGTGAATCTCCGAGATACTCTCCAATAATTTCAAGATTGCATATCTCATTTGTACTGATTTCCAGCAAATAATCCTTAAAGATAGAGGAGGATAAAATCAAATATTGATATGGAGATGTTCCCTGTTATTTACACAATAAACTCGTAATCGCAATAAGCAAACTTAGTATGAACTAGACAATATTGTTTTCTACATCTTATCAAACATAGTTACCTCTTCTCTTTATTTGGACATTTGGTGAAAGTTGAATTTATACCTATTTAACAAGGAAATTAAATTTTAATAGCTAAATAAAAACTATTATCAAAGTCATTTTAACACACTGTTTGTTACGTTAGGATACACACGCGTCCAGTGATTCCTAATACATGTATGTTCTGAAAATTATTCAAAATGGATGCATTTTTTAATTAGTGTATTTGAGGGAAATATATGATTGAAACAAGCTTAATAAAATTACCTCTATGATAAATATAAGTGAAACGATGACATCATCCAATTCTTTTGACTGAGACCCATCTCTATCTATTGTGTTCACAAACTTCACAAGATGCCTACTAAATTCATGTCCGCTAGATCAAATATTTCAAACATATTTAACTTATACAATGAATATAATGATAAAACAGTACAAACTGTATTAATATTGATAAGAATAAGTATTAAATTGTGTTGTTAAAATTATATAAACAAGAATTTGTAACAGAGTTACTAACGTCCCCCGCCTAAGGGAAGTTTTATATGAAGCATAAAATTGTGCTATTTCAAAAAATTGAGGTATGGATCTCAGGACTTTCAGTCCAAAATTATCATCAATGCTAGATCTGCAAATTCAACAATAAATTCATTAAAGAAATAAAATGAAACACAGAATTTAAAAATCTATCATGTTGAGCTTTGACTTATAAATGTGACCTTGACCTTTGAGGTAGGGATGCAGGTGTTGTGTGACATATTGTCCTATAGTTGTAACTATTAATGACAAGTATTTTCAAATTCCCTTGAACTATGAAGAAGTTATAGATTGACACAAAGTATACCCTATAACAGATTATGTTAATCTTTGATCTCTGAGTGTGACCTTGGAGGTAGGGACACATGTTTTGCGCCTGACATATCGTCTTATTATTGTGATTATTTGTGCAAAGTATTTTAAAATCCCTTATGAAAAAGGGTTGGACTGGGCACAAAATATACCCTGTAACAGACTATGTAAATCTTTGACCTTTAAGTGTGACCTTGACCTTGGAGGTAAGGACACAGGTGTTGTGCATGCATCTCATCTTATCATTGTGACTATTTGTGCCTAGTATTTTCAAAATCCCTTGATCTATGAAGAAGTTATGAACGAGAGACAAAATATACCATATAACATATTCTGTTAACCTTTGACCTCTAAGTGTGACCTTGACCTTGGAGGTTTGGGTGCAGGTGTTGTGCATGACATATTGTCTTATTATTGTGACTATTTGTGCCAAGTCATTTCAAAATATCTTGAACTATGAAGATCGGACACAAAATATACCCTTTTACAGACTATGTTAATTTTTGACCTCTAAGATTGACCTTGACATTGGAGGTAGGTAGGCAGATGTTGCGCAAGACACATTGACTTATTATAGTGACTATTTGTGCCAATTATTTTCAAAATCTTTTGATCTATGAAAAAGTAATGGACCGAACACAAAATATACCCTACAACAGACTATGTTAATCTTTGACCTCCAAGTGTGACCTTTACCTTGGAGGTAGGTGACCGGTTGTTGCGCATGACACATCGTCTCATTATTGTGAACAATTGGACCGGACACGACATATACCTTCAAATAGACAATGATGACCTTGAATGAGCAAGTGCGACCTTGACAATGGAGGTAGGAATCTGGTTGTTGCGCATGACACATCGTCTTATTATAACAACATTTATGCCAAGTTAATTTAAATTCCTTTGATAAATGACAAAGTTATGAACCGGACACGAAAGTGTGACGGTCGGACAAACAGACGTCCGGACGGACGTTCCAACATTTTGGGTTTAGGGGCTATTTTCTTTGTTAATTTTTTGTTTTCTTAAGGGCTATTAGCCCCTAAACCCTTTGATCACGGAATGAACCTATTGTTATTTAGCCCCTAAACCCAAAATGTTTGCTCAGACGGACAGACGGATGGACAGACAGACAGACAGAGCCTATTTCTATATCCCCCTTTTTTCTTCGAAAAGACGGAGGACAATAACCACATTTACCATAAAAGTATGATGGCCTTTTTACAACACTATAAAGTATACTTACTCTGCGCGTAAAAGGTGCTTGAAAAGGAACGCTGTGAAGTTTTTAGTTGAATCAACTCCAATATCTGTTTCATTTTCTTTTAATAATTGTTGATCTTCACCAATCGCGCTTTTGAATGAATACGACAATAACCATTCAATGGCATCTGAGTCTGGTGAAGTATTGTCTGCGAAACAAAGCTGTGAAACAATATCCATCAATACTAAATTACAGCGTTGACGATATTCACGAACCCTTTCCAGCACACCTCTGTAAAATGGTATACAAATTTTAGTCACAATTTGTAATTTTGTATGTTCTGTATGTTATTTATTCACTCAATAAGAAAGAGTCCATGTAAAAACAACATCAGCGCATTAAAACAATTTCTTGACTATGCTAAAGTTTATAAGAGTATAAGTAACCGTTAACCTCATATTCCTATAATCAAAATCCCACAAAACCGAGGTTTAGTGTAACTGTTGTAACAGTTGTGATAATAAATGATTATACATTAAAGAAAAAAGACATTAACATATTATTATAATGAGGTTATGGTATGCTTCTTCAAGAATAACAAACAAATTCGTTGAATTTATATCCCCCGCCGAGTACTGGTTATTATTAATACAACAACTGAAGACATAAGGCTTTATTCTTATATTTATCATGGCATAAACAGTAATATTCTTTAAACTTGGTAAATATTTAGGGCAATTACAGAGCCATAACTCTGTGTTAAATAGTAATATCTGGAAATGCCAATGAGATGTATGCATATTGCATAACTAATCAAGGGCCATAAATCTGAGTTATAAGTTTCTGACCGAATTAAGGCGACTATATGCACATCTCCTCTTCGTATCCCATAAAGTATCATTGAATTCCAGCCAGTAATTGCAGAGAAGTAGAGCGGAAATGATTTTTGCTCCAGATGCGTACTGCATAACTAATCAAGGGCCATAACTGTGAGTTAGAATGTCTGACCCAAACAAGGCGACGATATGAGCATTTCCTGTTGGTATTGAAGGTTCCAATAAAGTTTTATTGAATTCCAGCCAGTAGTTTCAGAGAAGTAGCGCGGTAACGAATATTTTCCTATATGCATACTGCATAACTAATCAAGGGCCATAACTCTGAGTTAAAATGTCTGACCCCAACAAGGCAATAATATGCGCATCTCCTCTTGGTATTGAAGGTTCCCATAAAGTTTCGTTGAATTCCAGCCAGTCGTTGCAGAGAAGTAGCGCGGAAACGATTTTTATTCTATATACATACTACATACATGTACTACATAACTAATCAAGGACCATAACTCTGAGTTCAAGGGTCTGACTGGAACAAGCCTATGATATGCACATCTCCTCTTAATATTGATGATTCCCATAAAGTTTCGTTAAATTCCAGCCAGTAGTTGCAGAGAACTAGTCCGGAAACGAAATTCGGACGGTCGGCTGGACGGAAAGACGGGCGGACGGCCGGACAACGCCAATACAATATCCCCCTCCCGATTCCATCAGTAGCAGTCAAGTTTATTGAAAGAATAATGTATAAAGAATAATGTAAATGTTAAGCCCCGGATAGTTGCTGTCTTGGAAAAAGTCTCTTTTCAAAATATAATTAAAATAAATGATGCTTGAAAATAAATGAATAAGAATAATTTCCTTACGTTCTGCAAAGAAACATATCATAATCAAGCACATCAGTATTGGGACGGTTTTCCTTACGAATGCCCATTTAATTTAACAAATTATTTTAAATCAAAATATGTGTTATCAAATTTTGAAATTCATTTCCTGAATCATGTCAAACTCTTATATACAAACTAAGAGTTTTATAATAATCGAACATATCAAATAGTAAACATATAATTATTATCAATCCGTTGCACTTAAATGAGGATCATATTTAAAGATAAATTATTGGATTGTTTTGCACAAGCATAAGCAAGCCCTGAGGACGCGGGATTTAATAAGTCCAAGGGCTTCTGTAAATGTTAACTCATGAACAATAGTGAATTAGCGCTATTCCTTTTTACAGTATATGTCTAATATGGTAAATCCGCGTTGTGTAATTGGTTTATAATATAAAGGTACCTTTTTTATACTTTCCACCTTCTAATGCAATGTCAGTTGGCAGTTATGTTTTCATAACAAAACTACCGGGTTATCATTGCAGTAAGCAATTTTTCACACGGTACCCTGAGTGAATACATAAGTTGTTTTTAAAAAATCTACCAAACAATTTTAAGATATTTATCCCGACGGAAATACAGAATAAACGGCGGGCGATACCTCCTCTGATTTTTATGCAGGAAACTACTACAGGGGATAAAGAGAATAACAGATTTTATTCAGACCTTTGCTACTACTTACGCGGGTTGTTCAAATATGAAAGCAATTGGGTTTATTTTCAGAAGTGCTTAACAAACAGTGCCAAAATAATTATCTCAATCCTTCAAAATACTCACCACCATGTGATATACAAAGTTTTAGTCTTTTAATCCAATTTTTAAATGCGTTTTCATAATCTTTTCGAGGTATACTGTTCAGACACTGGAAAATAGCCGAACCAAGATTTTTTCGCGTTTGATATTTTCTTCCAGCAAGTTGTTTTTTTGAGCGTCGGAAATATGAAAAAGTCTCAAGGGGCAAGATCTGGCGAAAAAGGTGGAAGAGGAAGCTCGACAACTTTTTCATGTTTCAGTTATTCTCGTACAATGGCTGTTTTCTGTAACGAAACATTGTCATGTAACAACCTGACATCACGGATATCTTGAAATATTTCTTTAATTTATGAAGGACCTTTCCGTTGTAAATCTTGGCATTGACAGATTTACCCTTTGGTACAGCATTTTGAATAGAAGGACAAAGAAAATTACATACATGACATTTTAGACGCTCATTGTGTGTTTTGCTATGCAAGGTCGTTGACTTCCTTTCGCTACCCATATTTTGTTATGTATCATTCGCTTGGGCTCATAAAATTGAAACCACATTTCATCGCCAGTGATGATATTTTCGAAAGATTAATTGTTGTACATGTATTTAGGGAACTATTACAACAATTGTTTGGAGATTCTTACTAGAGCAAGTTTTTGATCTTTTGTAAAGAGATGGGGTATTCATCTGGGACTTATCCTATCATCATTAATTCACGCTTGAGAATTGTATGAGCGGCTTTTACAGAGATACCAACGCATTTAGCTGTATATTTAGTTGTAAATCTTGCATCAGTATTAATCAAATCTCCTGTACTCTAACCCCCATTTTTGACGAAGTTGCAGTGTTCGGACATTGTGCGTGAGGTGCATCCAATACCACTTTTTAGTTTCTTACACCACTGTGTGACAGATGAAAAGGACAGTTCATTGTTTCCATAAACACGGCATATTTCATTAAATATGTCTTTCGCCTGTATACAAAAAATACAGCGGTTTTTGATAAGGACCGTATTTGGTCAGTGAAAGGAGACCGTTCCCCAACCAGTTTAGCCTTAGTATATACGAGTGGATAGCGTAAATCGAGCTTAAGACAAGACTGAACTTATTTACACATGTATTGTCTTAATTGAGAGCTAACACAACCATCAATGCACAACATGTATATAGTTTGTTCGAAACGTGCTTAAAAGCGATATATTGGCCTAGTTGCATTCATATTTGAACGCCCCTCGTATAATCATGAACTGTTTTAAATTTCACTCAAAATCTAATTGTACTCATAAAAAAGGCAATATGTACTGTTGTTCATCATGTTCCTGTGATTGTGGGTTTTCTTTTTCTTTTTTCGATATATCTTGGTCTATTGTTTCTACTGATGCAGTTGCTTCACATTTCTCGCAATAGATGGTTTTGCTGTTGCTAGTCATGACGATGCCACACTTTACACATGTCTTTGCTTCCCTTAAAATAAGTAAAACGAGTCGTCAATACAATGCATTCTGCTAAAAATCAGCATTTTCTTAAGCTGCTGAATTTATAAAGAATTTCTTTATAATTTTTGATTTGCTCAATTATTAGAATATCAAAGAACAAATTAAATACTATGAGTTACCTTATTAAGCTATTTTTCGTTTTCTTAAAGCAAACTACCAAAAATCGTTCGATTTCTTTTAACGGCTCAATGCATTTCACATCCATATTCCCTTCATCTAATAACTGTAAAAAGAAATAAGTATATACAGTTTTCAAAGAAAAAGAAATCTAAAGTAAAATTTGTTTAATGCACCAGGTAATCTTTAAATGCAAAAGTTTTTTTTTTAAGGAAATCATATTCTATTTGTAAATTAATATGATCATTTCTATGATAAATTTTAATAAAAAGCATGAAACATTTTAAATCATGCCCTATATGTTTGGTGTAATTTCCGCTTTACACAATGTAAAACTTTAAGCCATACTTTAACCGTTCTATGTAGATCTAAAAGGTTAAATGTAATTTTTTTCTAAACAAACAGCACAAAAAGAAAAATTTTACAAGAATGTATTGAAAAAATCTATAAACTGAAATGAAGTGGTTTGCTTACTTTCCAAAGTAAAGGAAAGATATCTATTGGGAAACTTTTGTTTTCCTTCGGAGTCAAGTTTTCGATACACAACTGCATTACGACAATTCGATTCCACCTTGATCTGCACATTGTAAATTATAACAAATGTCAAGTGATCAAATCATAGTAATACGTAAATGTCGCTATTATATTATATCTGAAAAGTTTAACGAAATATGTTTATTGATACTTAACGTAAGAGTTGCATGTTGCGAAAAGATCTAAATTTATCTTATCGGTAACATTCGTTAGTTAAAATATACACGATGTTTCCTTTTATACAAGTTCAACTGATAATAGTATCAAACAGACCAAACCTTTCCTTTGCAACAAGTGCGTAGTTGGTAATTTCTTCTTGACAAAACGCTAACGTTTGATTCACAACCTGCCTATATCTTTGAACCTGTCCAAGCCAATTATCCCTGTTACTGTCTGATTGAAACCATTCCGTAATATCCACTTTGCCTTTAGGTAAAATATGCTCAATCAGTGTTGTCAATCCAAGGAATTCCTGTTTGTATAAATATATGGGGTCTGAACTTATTCATACACGTATGAAATTAATATTTTTCACACCTAATAAGTTAAAGAATTGACCGAAACTAGTAGATACTAATAAAATATTGTGAACTTGCCTCGGTATTGACGTGTTTTACTCTTTTATTTTGAATTTGCATTGATTGAATTTTCAAACATGTAAGGATCAGAAAAATATAAACTAAATTATAATAAGGTAGATAAACATACAATACTATTTCATTGAATATAAAACAGTTCCATTTAAATATGGTTTAAAGGATATGTCTCTAAAACTGAACGACGAAACAGTCAAATCAAAATAGCTATGAGTACAGTTGTAGCAAAACCTTTTTGTCGTACATGTATTATGAAAAACAAAGACCTTACCAGATTTTCTTCTGGATCATCAAAATTACTATGGCATGCCATCACAGCGTCCGTACATCCACACCATACATTGCTGATGTCCCGGTAGTAATTTAATCTAGGTTTTGTTTCCTGGTAAACTTGATGGACCAATATAAAAGCGGCTGATACAGATGTGTTTTCGGAGGTAATCCGACCAAGTGTCATTTGCATAATTGACATGAAAACAAGCTGAAATTTTAGTCATTGGTCTAATAGTATGCTATTATGAAAAAACTTATATCTCTCTGAAACAAAAACAACAAAAACATCACATTTTATCTTCAGTTTAATCAGGTTCCGTAAGAGTTATCTGACATGTATTATCCATGGAAAATTATTGCTCTAAAATATATATACTACTCCTCTTATAAAATAATTTTGTATTTAACTGAGTGACTCACATGTCTGTCCTTTTTTTCTGGATAAACTGTTTGCACAAAATCGTTGATATAAGATTCAAAGACGTCATAGAAATCCTCTTTAGGAACAGAATCTATGGCTCTGATAAGTTCCATTTCTCCTAATATTTCCTCTTGTTCTGAAAAAAATAGATAGACTATAGACAATTGAACTAGTATTCACAAAATACTTAAACTTAAAAGTCATAAAAACCTTACTTAAAAGACCTATCATGTCTTTCTGTCATACTTACACAAATTCAACTAGTTTTATAAAAACAACTTATTTCAAAAATAATTTTTTTAAAAACATTAATGATTGTTCTTACTATTGGTTTCTTGCATAAGGAAATTGCGCTGTTGTAAGATAGCATCAATTGTAGACAGCATGATCCAGGAGAATGGCACTTTGCATTGAAACAAACGACCGCTGTAGCCAGTGCCATGCACTTCAAATTGTAGCCCTCTCTCGGTGTGAACTTTTGTAAACTATTAAAGTGTAGACGACGTTAAAAAAGCATATAAAATACAATTTCTTAAATAAAGAATTATCTACTACCCCATTACACATAATTTCAATAGAGAATACATGAAAGTAATAAAAATAATCCAAACCACAAAAATTAATTACCAAGTGTACACCAACTTCCTTTGTGTTTATAAGAGCTATCCACAGATTCCGCTGCCATGTTCCAACGCCACATTCCAGCAAATTTAAGTTGTGATTTGTATCTAATGCTGCAAACAGTCCACCAAGAATAGGTGACATCCGGGTATCAAACGCTTCTATACATGCACGTCTGTTTTGCAAATAAAATTCTCTTTATTTAATGACTGTTTACCAACGGTTTTGAAATAAAAATTACATAAATGTATGGTAACTGTAATGTTTCTGTATCTAAATGTTTCGTTTGTACATTTTCGGTTGATAGAAACAAAAACAAAGTAGAATAAAATTGTTTTTAAAAACGAGGAAACTAAATTAGTAAAGCATAATATAGGAAGACAAACAAAACAGTCGAAAACGAAAAACAAAACAGAATGATAATTTAGAGGCTGTAATTGTTCTGATGAAAATACATGATGTAATACCGTCATAAGAGTAAATAACTAAAGAAATACTCGTATATCGAGGGACTTGAACGTAAACTGTCGTAAGTCACATTTACACGCTTTTACAGGAGAAAAAAAAATGTTATATAACCTTATAAATTTTTTGTGACCTACAATAATAATGTCGAACAAATTTTTATGAAGAATGAAATGAATATATTGTGGTTGAAAAGATAGACCTTGCACATAAAAAAATTAAACAGGAACATTCAAAGTTCACTTAGGGGTGTTATCCATTAAAAATCCATGCTTAAGTTATTGGTCCAGGGCAGCGCCCTACTATTATTCTGAAGACAGATTTTCAATATCTGGAAAATGGTAATCTCTTGGAAGCATTTAAACCATCGAAATTACATAAAAATTGCAGACTTTTGATTTGATTGAGTTTTTACATGGGAGATAATGAAAACGTGAAACATTCCTCATGTCCCCAAGCACCGGCAACAATTTAAACGTGCCACAAGCAATGATTCCGAAGGAACCGAACAATATTTTTATAACAACACTGAAGTGAGGCACTGGGCAATGTTTTACGGCTGTCAAATTGACTTGTGATGTAAATACCTTGAAAACAGTTGACTTCTCTGAAACATTAAAACCGGGAATATTACATGAAAATTGCAGACTCGGTTTGATTAAGTCTGCCCATGAGGGATATGAAAAAGTGCAACATCCCTCAAGCCTCATAGCGGCGACTTGAGCGGTAATCAATTTTCAACACCTGTGCCGGAAGGATCAGAAAAATATAACAACACTGAAGTAAGTAACTTTTTGATAATTGAGTCAAAAATGTGACCACTACAGTGTTAACAAGGTTTTTCCATAATTGGGCGGTGTGACCCAGTTTTTCATCCGAGATGACCCATGTTCCAACTCGACCTGGAAATCATCAAAACAAATTTTCAGACCAATTTACAGGATATTTCGATCAAAAACAGTAGCCACTAGAGTATTAATAAGATTTTCCTATTTTTACCTCCGGTGACCTAGTTTTTCATCCGAGATGACCCATGTTCAAACTCTACCGAGCAATTACCTACAGAAGCATCCTGACCAAGTTTGATGATAATTGAGTCAAAAGTGACCACTAGAATGTTAACAAGGTTTTCCATATTTGGGCAGTGTGACAGTTTTTGACCCCAGGTAACCCATATTCGAACTTGACCTAGAAATCATCAAAACAAACTTTCAGACAAATTTCCAGGATATTTGGATCAAAACAGTAGCCACTAGAATGTTAACAAGATTTTTCTATTTTTAGCTCATGTGACCTAGTTTTTCTTGCGAGATGACCCATGTTCTAACTCATCTAAGCAATTACCTAGACAAGCATGCTGACCAAGGTTGTTGATAATTGGGTCAAAAATGTGATCATTACAGTGTTAACAAGGTTTTTCCATAATTGGGCGGTGTGACCTAGTTTTTCATCCGAGATGACCCATGTTCCAACTCGACCTAGAAATCATCAAAACAAATTTTCAGACCAATTTACAGGATATGTGGATCAAAAACAGTAGCCACTAGAGTATTAATAAGATTTTTCTATTTTTAGCTCATGTGACGTAGTTTTTCATCCGAGATGACCCATGTTCAAACTCGTTCGAGCAATAATCTAGACAAGCGTCCTGACCAAGTTTAATGAAAATTGAGTAAAAAATGTGACCGCTAGAGTATTAACAAGGTTTTTATATTTTTAGCTCCGCTGACCTAGTTTTTCATCTAAGATGACCCATGTTCGAACTCATCCGAGCTATTAACTAGATTAGCATCCTGAACAAGTTTGATGATGATTGAGGCAAAAATGTGACCGCTAGAGTGTTAACAATGTTTTTCTATTTTTAGCTTCTGTGACCTAGTTTTTCATCCGAGATGACCCATGTTCGAACACATCCCAGCTATTAACTAGATAAGCATCATGACAGTTTGATGATGATTGAGGCAAAAATGTGACCGCTAGAGTGTTAACGAACAAGTGTGGACGGACGATATACGACGGACGACGGACATTCAACGATCCTAAAAGCTCACCCTGAGCTAGCTCAGGTGCGCTAAAATATGTACAAGGAAACAAACTTCTCGAAAAACATCTTTGCTGGCATTTCATAAGAAATATTAAAAAAGAAAATTTAATTTGTTTTTTTTTTATATAATTTAATATGATAGTCATAAATAGATTCAAAATAATTAAAATATATATTATCATGAATTTGTTAACTTGCTAGTAACTGAGTTGATTTTAAATATTTTAATATTTTAAGGCATAACCAAAGCTTGGAAGCAAAGATCCTATTTTTGTTTTGATAGCAACTTATCTTTTAAGCCATATTTTCCAAAGTATAAATGATTTATTCCAAACTTAATTTATACCATATTCAAGTCTTCCAAAGTAACTATTATACAAGATAGGGATTTTTTGGTGGAACATACATGTATTATCATGATTCAAAATTTAGCATTATAAAATGATACATTCCTGTCAGCTAAATCTTGAAATGAATAATTTGATTATCATCTTACAAAAGTTCCTGTTATTACATATAAGTTTGAAAAAATATCTATTTGTTTTGTTTGTTTTGTTTCTTTGAATTTTTGAATAAAGTTAAAATATTGAACATATTTCAAGGAAGCAGCTGTCTGTTTTCGATATACAAGTACGTAATTCTTAAACAACTTATCAGGTAAATTATCAGGTTGATCATGTCACAGTTTGTATTAATGAAAACATTAAACCTTTCACACCAACCAAATGAAACAACTATAAATGTAAATTATGTATATTAAACTTCAGTATGGAAAACTGTATGTAACTCAAGTTACGACAGTTTTTCATTCAGTAAAATATTAGCATAGAATTACAACACATTTGCATTTATCATGTAAAAGTGACATATAATGAGAATATGTTGCTAATATTTTTTGTACAGATGTATTAGGGGTAATGATTGTCAAAAAATGCAAAAAAGTGATTTTTTGACAAAAATGTGACTTACAACACTTTTCCGTTCAGCCCTCGATATGTATCTATTTATGAATTAAATATAGTTATTTGCACTTAATTAAAAACACAGACAAATTAAGAAAATACCTAAACGTTCCGAATTTTTCAATCGCAACAATTGATGCGGCCTCTTTTGAGAGCCACATATCTGGAGTAGTAGCCAAAGGTTCGTTCTCCTTTTCAGCCATGATCCTCTGGACTAATTTACTTATGCCTCTGACAAAGCCATCACAATCTTTTCAATAATTTCATATAATTATGTATTGAAAATAGGACATTTCAGTATGAACTTATATTACATTTTTATGTATGTAATTGCTTTAATTAATATTAACAAAACATGAGACGTTAAGAAAACATTTCAGGTGATGATTTTTCAGATAAAAAATAACATAATAGAAACTATTGAAAACTGTTTTTGTCATAAGTTTTGTTTCTTTTATTTGTTTCACAGAAGAAAATATCACATATCACCAGATGAGCAACTATTATCAAAATGAACAAAATTTTTAATATAAAATTTAATATGTCTACGTGAAAGTAAAACATAAACTACAGCAATTACAACATTTGGCAAATAACTTTTAAAAATGATTAAATATAGGTGAACAACTATTATTCGCTTTTATATTCAGCGAACTCAACTGTGGTATTTATTTGTGTCTAAAGACTATACCTTTGTTTGACCTGTCATGTAATATGAGCAGTATCAATGACACTCGTTGAGTGGACCTGTGTTTGTTTTCTTCAGGGTCCCTTACTAATGACAAAGCTCTCTGCAGACTACGTTCTATCAACAGTCGTAAATTAAGACACTTGTCTTGTTCATGTCTTGTAAAAAGAATGTTTTAATGTCAGTAATAAAATGGTATTTTATTTTTGTGCTCTATACAAAATGAAACAAAATTTAATGAAATTAAATCAATGAACTACAAGCTGCATAATGATGATTTTAAATATCAATCAATTCTGGTAATATGAATTAGCTTCTTTATATGTTTCCAAACATTCCATATCAGATCAATATTGTTATCATTTTAGCTCAATTTTCATAACACGAGTTCGAAGAATCCATGTGGAATAAGTGTACCTCCGTTTTCATTCGTGTCCCAGTTAAAAAAATGACACAAACTGCAAGGCTGTAACGGGTCAAGGAATTAAAATGACAAAGATAGGACGTTAAGAACTAAAATGAAAAACAACGGGGGATGGAAAGTAAATACCAATCGGTGCCGACAAAAAACAAAAACAAGACAAATTTGTGGAAGATTACAGAAGGGCACCGCAGTCGGTCACTAGCAAAATTACTACTTGGGAGTTTAATATGGATATAAACACGTCAGCCTCTCTATATTCATATATAACGGGACAGAGTGAATAAATAATTAAATGTATATGCTAATCAAGTGAAATATGACAATCGCTATGGGTAGGGCTAAATAACTTAATACAGAAAAGACATAAATATCAAAATGCAGTCGAATTACTGTTCTACATATTTCTGTCGAAATGTCAAAAAAAGAAGAAAATGACGATGAGTACAATATTTATTCTATGTATGTGTACAACAACTGAAGAACTTATGTACTCGGCTAGCGCCTCGACAACTATAGGTTTGATCGTCAAATAGAGTATTGAACTTGAAACTAAAGTGCTTAAAGAAGAAACTAACTTAAGATAAAATAAGATAAAATATGATGAAAACAATAATAATAATAATAATAATAATAATAATAATAAAATAATGATAATAAAATAATGATAATAATAATAATAATAAAATAATAATAATTAACGGCATTACATACGGTGTCTCATTCTGATCAAGTGAGAAGTTGTTTCTGCTTTCAATTGACTTTGCAATAAGAACACTCATTCTATTTCTTTGCATATCATTAATTGATGGCATTGCAATTCCTGGAGTTAAGAGATTATCTATATGAACTGAGTGCCAGTCACCACACTGAAATAAGTAAAACAAAAATCTGTAAAATAGTGTGTTGCGCTTGAATCAGGTCATACTGTTGTTCCACAACACAAAGTACTGAATTACGTAGAATACATGTGATAAAAAACTGAAGAGTAACATAATAATAATCTTAAATACGCGGGGTTTTATCAGCATTTTATATAGAAGATATTTCAATATAATACCGGATTTATATAAATTACTATTGACATACCTGGATACTGTAAAAGTTTTTATTTTCCATTGGCGTCAATTGTACAATAAAAATTATGCTGACAGGTGCTTTGTATATTAGCTTGGTACATTCATTTATAACAGCGTACTTTGCACATGCAATCAAATTTGTGTTTTTGTCACCAGAATCACACTGCACAACGATGAGAACTGGCTCGTCATTCTGTGACCTTAGAATGTGGTCTCTAAAATACATTTTGTAAAACATTCTGTCAGAAATAATAATCATATGCAGAAACATTAATTAATGACAAAAATGAAATTATTTTAGGAATTAAATTTGAAATTAATTACGGTTTAAACAAGCATGACATTGAATTATTTTATTTTATTGTATCGATCGAGGAAACACGTCTCAATTAATGTATTTCTCGGATATTATTTTATCAAGACAATAAGCGACATTGTCGCTTTAATTTTATTGCGATTAACTACGGACTATTAGCACACTTTTACATTCTATTCCATTTGATTAAAGCTATGTCTAGTTACAGGTCGAACAATGTGCACTTCGCGGACTAACGGTTGGATATCTCAAAAAGCTATGAAAAGCACCGAATTACACATATTCATATTTAATTCTCAAAGAATACTTGGAATGGAAATATGCATATTTGTAAATACAATGGTTTTGATAAACAAATCTATACTTGATCTTGCTAATGAACTGTTGCTCTGTGTCAAAGGATTGCAGTGCTTCTAAAATCAAAATTCTGCTGGGATGCATCCCGGTTGCATCTCTGAGAGTGTGTTTGTATGCCGCTGTCAACAGTGACGAGTGGGTTGTTATCTGTTCATTTAATACCATAAAAATATTATTCTTAGTACAAATACAACATATGTTCAATTTATTGTAATGATGACATTATACAATGTATATCAGTTATCCTCATAATCTGATCTCGGAAATTAGAGACAATAATTATAGCAAGAAATGCAACTAAATTGAAACAGAATTAAACATATTTTGCAAATTTATTACGTGAAATATAGAAACACATAACATTTAAGAACGATCAAAACGAAAAAATTGAAAATGTCACAGGCTCGGTTTGATTGAGCCTGTTCATAGACGGAACTAGAAAGTGCAAGCTACCGCTAATGTCCTTTAGCACCCCAGTTTAAGCAGAATCAACATTTCCAAATGGAAACGAAGACAGTTTTATTTTCCCCGGTCCATCGAGTGTTTGGTTTTTACACGCTGTGAGTAGCAAAATACATTTTCCTTTCAATATATACCTACAAATTTCATTATATACCTATCAATTCTAAGACAAAAAGCAATTAAATATATTGAACATATATACGTTACATATACATGTATTTTATTAACAAAAATATAGCTGTAAAGAAATAATATGAATTAATTAATGACGAATGTCGAATGAATACATCTTTGGCAAAAGAGCCCATGCCTTCAGTAACACCGGTTCCTGTTTTTGAAACACTACGTTATGAACCGCTAAGATGGAAACCAATGGAGAAAAATAGTCCGGCACTTCCATATATTTAACAGTATCTACCGGTAACATAATACCGCCTTCTCTATGCATTGAATCTTATAAGCTTTTCAAGATTTGCATGTTTTAGGGATAAAAATTATTGGTATTATCTAATAAATATGAATATTTCCTGAAGGGTCTCATAATTTCCTTTTGATTTTTCTTTTTGTTTGCAACAATCAGAACATCTGACAAAGAGAAAAGTAAATATAATTATAGTTATCTCTTACCAGCCGTATAGTAGTCGTATGTTTCTTTCAGTTTGTTTTAACATAAAATGAATTGCCATGTTCAATTTTGGCGTGTTGGGCTTTCTTTCGGGATTCTGTTTTTCTCTCATGTTTTGGGAAAAAGTGCGTGGAGAAAAATTCCAAAACAGTTTCGATTCAGGTAGGTTTTAAATTATTCTGTTAATATCTAATTGATTGTTTTTCTTCAAATAAGAAACATAAACCCCTTCGTTCCTTGACTGTTTTCTGTACAATCTGTTTAATCTCAGTTCTATACGCTTTCCCTAACAAGTTCATTAGAATTATTAACATTCCAATGAAAGCAAATTTGAAAAAAAGTCCAAGTTAATATTTTATTTTTAATGGATTAAAAAGCTGCTTTAGATAGCTATTTTTGGCTGTATTTTACGTCGCACCAAAAAGTATTCGTTAAGAAAAAAGTTACTAACTTGTGCGTAAAGTCTGTCTTTATCCCTTTTTTTGAAATGAAAAGACAGATATTCTTTCAGGCTTTCGTGTGACTGTTTGTTCCAATACGTATCTTGCATATTATCTCGTTCTTCTGAAAGTCTCAATATTGCATCGGGTGCTGCACACCATAAAAGTATGTCTTTCGATTTTTCAAAAGCCTTGAAAAAGATATGTGTTTGTTTCAATCAGTTATTCATACATGTCTTTTGCATTTAATTATCAATTACCCTTTTTTAAGCATACAATTCTCAATAACAGCTTGTCATATTATGTCTAACATTATATGCAAATGATGTGCAATAGGCTTAAAATCGTAGTTTACATTTCCAAATACATTTATCTGATTGAAATATAGTTTATAACATAGCAAAATAGGTCGAAAATGAAACTGATACAACTTAAATGGAAAAAAGAAAAAAATATTGTTAGACATATTAGTTGCGCAAACTCATTTGCTCACACTTAATATGCAAATTCATTATTCTATAGATGCTTTTATTTGACAAAAACACAGCTATTCAATAATTGTTAAGTCAATGCTATTGCGAAGCATATTATTTTTAACTTGCATCCCACAAAATCACCTTATCCCAGTGATCAACTGTTTCAAGGCTCATTTCGTCTGTCCAGGTTTCCAGTGCTAGTATCGCGCAAACATCGTGATGATAGCCGATAAAAACCTTTGCAACATCATTTTCCGTTGCTCTATTCCTTGAAAATATATCAGAATGTTAAATTTTATATCTTCCTGTTAGTGTTATTTAAAGATACCTTAATGATTATAAAAAAAGGAGTGAAGACTTGTGAAGAATCGCTAAGACTTGCAATGAAGAAATGTTTTAAAAGAACAAAATGCGTTTAATATTCTTCAAAATGAAAACCAACATGTAATGCTAAGGGAGTTTTATTATGTCATTTCCTTTGTTAAAACAATCTGCAGACAAGTATTTACGAAGTGGAACAAGCGATAAAATGGCATGCCCTATTATATTTTTAATGGAAACCTTTTTAATTGAAATATTCCAAAATGTTATCGTTAATATATATGATTTTCACATTTGAAAAGAAAGACATGTCTTTAAAGGCAAAAAAGGAAGAAGACTTGAAAAAAGTCGTTCGACCAATCACATAAGTCTTTTATAATGAGTTGAAAGTGGAACGACTTATTGCATTTGTATGTTTGCTTCAATGATTAGTGTAAACAAATGCAGCATTAAACAATTTTTCATATCAGTAATCACGCTTATAAAGTCAGGGTATCTAACATCTTGACTCGGGGATCTTGAAAATTCAACAGTGAAAATTGTCACTATGATCATTAATTTCTGGGCATACATATATTTTATCAAATCGAAATATGATCGAATCGAACATTAACAATTCGTACCTTAACGAAAGAGACTGTTTTGTAACACCTTCGATCCATTCTTTTAACGATCTTGCTAATCGTTTTTGGTATTCATTCAACAAAGCTGTCGACATCAGACAATGCTTTTCCAGTCTGTTTATCAAAGGTATTGGGAATCTTTCATACACGGTTTGTTTTTCCGCGACAACAATCAACCTTTTAATATATAAAATGTTATGTATTGACTGTATTCAGATATAACACAAGTCTTTATGAAACGAGTTCTTTCCATTACAATTCAGCAACTTTCAATTGTTATATATGCTTTAAAAGTAAATTAAGAACAGATGCCAAAATTTGTTCCGAATAACCTTGCGAGCCATACTGTTACATAACCTTTTTATGTTAACTTTAAGGAATGCAATTACAATATTTTCTTAAGATTCAATGACGTCAGTAGTTAAATCATCATTAAATGCGACTTAAACTAAAATGAATATTCAACAACTTACTTGAAATCTTTATGGACAGGACATTTCACTCTATGAGTTCCAAAGCCTAAATCAACGTAACGTTCTCCTCCGAAGTAAACATAGTATTGGTTAAGAGCGTCATACAAACTTTCATACAAATTGTCCGAGTTTACAAGAATTACCAATTTTCCAGTCTCCATGCAGATCTTAATTTTGTTGATATTCCTGCAAATCTGAAATTTATTCCAATAAATATCAAAAACGATAAAAAAAACTTTAGATTTATGCAAAATCTTTAGTATATTTTATATTTCCATCAAATAAAATGACAAGAAAAACATGCATTACAACATTAAATTAAGATTTGTTCCTATGAACATATTGATACATATCTACATTCTTAGTAATAGTAGAGTGACATTCCGATAGTCGAACTATATAATGAGGTCTTCTTCCCTGTAAATGGAAGGTAAAAACGCTAATATCTATATATGGGACGCAAATTCAGAAAACTTTATCAAATAAGTATGAAACATGTACACGTGATCTATGCCAACATGTCCTGAAATTAAAACATTAGTATTCAGACAACGTTTCTACTGTTAATTAACGAGAAACCATGTTACTGTCCATTGGTTTATGATTAATTGGGCACTATGGGGCATTGGCAATGGCTTACTATTACCATTACCCTATAAACTTGCTAAACAAAACAAAGGTTACAACACTTAATTTACGTTTTGGTTGTTCTTTTTCTTTATCTTAGTATCGGACCAAAAACTACTTGGACATCTTTTTCAATTTACCCATTTCGTTACTAAAATGAGTGCAGAAAATATACACACAACAACAAATACAAAATTCTGAGCATTACAAAATAATTGAAAGCCATTGATGCTTGAAATAATGAAAATATTGTGTGTTTTTTGTTTACCTGTGTGTATTCTTGATCTCGTCTAAAACTGCCTCCAAATATAACAATTGGCTGAATTTTAGTTTTTGTTAGAAATGCTTGCTCAAACATAGCAATTGCGCTGCTGTAGTTTTCCGTCAAGAGAAGTAAATGTCGGCTATCACTATTATAATCAAATGCCATTAATTAATTTTTGTATCACAAATTTACAAACAAAATTCTTCAGAATTTGTTTCAGGTGTAAGAATTGCACCATATTAAAAAGCAAATCATTGCCTAAAAATGCACACAAATAATATTTTTTTGCATAAACAGAATTTACATATGTTGTTATATTTCAGTTATATATTCTGATGATTTAACAAACGTATAAAAATGACAACAAGATATTTTACAAGCCAGTAACATATTTGGCACTTCGTTTAAGATACCATGAAACATATATAGCAATATAATGAAGAAAAAAAGGAAAAGAGAAGAAAACTGATACTTGAAAATATAATACCTATATTCATTTGTTATCCAAGATTTCAACAGACCTGTAAAACTATCATCCGGATCATGCTCTTGACGCTTAAAAAGTAAGATGTTTTAAACATTAAATGATTTCATCAGTTGATTCGTTTTTGTATACTAATACAACGTAAAGGAGGAAAAACAAAACAAACTTGATACGATACAGAAAACATTTTACCTCTTTCTTTTCGTCAAAATGTGTAAGTTGTCGAATAAATATTTTAAAAGTGTCAAAATTGTCTAGTCCACTGAAGTTCCGTCTAACAGCAAATCTCAGTTTTATATAGGTAGGTAAATATGACTGTTTGGAACGAAGTACAATTTGATTTATCATTTTCATCAGACTGAAACGAAAACAGTACATGTACAGTTGAGTCTAATTACATCATTTAAGATAAATGCAACATTCTCTAAAAAATGAAACTAAATGGAAAGTGTTGGTTCTCAATCTTAATGTTTTTTTGGAAATAAAAAATAAAAAGTTATTTGACAAATAACTACTTTTTAAAACAATGCTGAATATTCCAAAATTGATTTCTTTGGGCAGCGAATATCAATATAAATCCCAGTCATTTAATTTTTTGGCAAAGCCTTCGGGATTCAAACAATAATAGCCTAATGCGACGGATGTTCCCAAAACCGACACTTGTCAATGTATAACAATCACATCTTTCAATTAATAAAAGTGTATAAATCTATTTAGCGCCAGATACTAGGACCTGTAAATCCACTTTCTCTAACAGCTTAAGTTGTAATATAACAAAAGTGTTTATCCATGACAAATGGAGGACATCAGTCAGTAAACGAAGGCTGTATGAGCTTGACTGCAAAAATCTGTTTTTGCCAATTTTACAACTTACTCAAACCAAACTACTAAAGATTTAACTTACCAAATGTGGAAGATATCATTTTATAGATAAAGGCTGCTCATGGAAAAATGCAAAATCTATTTTCAGAACTAGTTACCTTGACCTTGACTTAAACTTGACCTTTGAATTGGAGACCAAAATTAAATATATTTTATCAATTGTACTGTTATTTGTAAGCATGTCATTTTACTTATTTTACGTACATTGCACATTTCAGACCATGTTTGCATTCAAGATTTTTAACTTAAAATATTACATACCATAATATTTGGTAGTAGATGCAACTTTCGTAGCTTAAACGTACCTGTAAAAGTCTCTGAGGCCAAAAAATTCCCTTTTTTCTTCGGATGCTTTTTTAAAGACTTCCAAATATCCAAATGAAAGTGGTTTGATAAGCAAATTATTCACATGTTGTGTAGATGCACAAATTCCCCTAAATGGTTGATATTTAAATGTATTATTTTGAGAAATCTGATACGGAATTATAAAGTAACGTACATAATACTTACTATAAAATAATGTTTAAAACAGTATCCAGCCTGTGTGTTAATTACAAATTACATGCTAAAGATAAATATTAATGTTATGGATGTATGCATTTTTAAGTGAAATGCAAATTCATTGTACAAATGTTAAAGGTCATTTTCATAGTTTGTGATGCATGTTCTTTATAGAATTGTCAAACATTTTTTATCAGGAATTATAAAATTCAAAGTTCAAACCTTGCTGTTTTTTCAAGTTCTAATAAATCAGGAACTTGTCCTTGCACAAAAACTCCACGATTCATTTTTGCTGGATCAAGACTCCAGTTTGATATACCTATAAAGGCCACCTTAAGATAGAAAGTAAAGATTAAGGATTAAATAAGTCTAACATTAAAATTATTCTATAAAAACAGCATTCACATTAACAAATATTAATCACATTTCATTATATTGATCTCAACCTTTTCAAGAACGTTTTGATCGCCAATAAATTCAAGTCGAAAAACAAACCATACCGGAGCAGCCTACATTTACATGCAATGCCAAAAGAAAATCCAGTTTGTTTAATATTAGATAAAAGTCTCATCTGAGTGCATGATCTTTTAAAAAAGTAAACTGTATGAATGCTGCTACTGTTTATTTTCATTAAATTTCTTAAAACTTTATAAATTAAAGTAACTATTTATGTTTAACGGATACAATAAAAATCCTAAATGGATTGGATTTCATGTAATACTTAGCTTATTAACCAAAATAATAATAATTGTCAAGGGATGTAAGGACATGTTTCATAATACAAATTGTAAATGCCATTATTACCGTATCAAGATATTAAACCAGGTATTGTAAATCATAATCATTGATCGTATAAAGTCATTAGAATAGTTTTTTTATTTATTATGTAAGTGGTTTAAAAAGACATTTGTACTCGTATAAATCTTATTTATCATGCTAACTCTGACAGCTGCCCTGCTAGTGAAATACAAATTATATTCAACACTTTAAATTCAAAATTATAAAGTTAAAGATATCGGATGCAAAATGAATAGTTCCGAAAGTTTCAAAAAATAATTTGTTGGAACTCACCTTATTGTACTGTTCAGCGATTTCGTCTCCCTGGCAACCATCCTCTAAAAGTGGATGTAGCGTCTACCACAAAAATAATGACTTTTTAATAAATGGGTGTTGCAGGATAGTAAGATAAAGTGCAAACAAAATAATTGTGTTTTGTTGGATATCATTATTTATCAACCATGTTATAGCATACTTATGGTATATGAAGTCAACTGTCCCTAAAAAGTTCATGCTATACTTTCTACAACAATTATTGTATTTCATTAATATTTTGAAATAGATGCTAACTTTATTTTGCTTATTCTTAAATTATGTCTTACCTTCAAAGGCATCCTTTCGCTGTCTTCTGCCAAACCAATTTCATCCAGAACGACAACTGATACAAATTTATCTAAATTGTCTTTGTAGTTCTGTTGAAAACTTGCACATTGGTGAAATGTAGATATAATGGCTTCAGGCGACGTCAAAGGACTACATTGGAATGAAACCATTTGGACCTAAAACAGCGTAATTTTTCTTGAACATTAGAAATTATTAGCATCCACATCGATCTATATGACATTTTTGAAATAAATTTTATGCCGATTTAAAACAAAAATATTGCGCAATTATATATTTTGCTCAATGTCTCTTATTGTATGCTTAATTAAGTTATTATTTATTGGTCTGTAATTTAATTATATTTCCAACCTAATATCGGATCTTAGAAAGAGTGAATGTTTTACTTGTTTCATCTCTTTGAACAAAGCCTTTTTAGCTGCTTGCCCTTGCATTGCATCCGTTACGATCACTTTTGCGAGAGATTTTGAACTTCCTGGTTTTCCGACAAGAAACAGTGGTATTCGGAGTTCAATACAGACAACCATCATGAAAACGTTTTCTTTTAAAGCATGATTTCGTGCAATGTTACTGTTATCCTCCAGGTTGACAGAGTCCAGAAAAACTTCTTGTACACTGAAATTTGCATTAAGTCTTAACACTATTAACAGTTTTTTATTGGGCAATAACAAATATTATTTCATATCTGTGTTTGAAGTGGAATTACGTTTTTGACAGAAATACGTTAAACTCTAGCAAGAAAAATGAGTCGACAACGGATGTGGTTCCTTTTGCATTTTAAAAGTATAGTTACATAGGTACATTACAAGGAAAAACATTGGCATTTGTTTTGTAAAATTTGTTAAGGGGAATAAATGAATATATTACCGATCAATTTCGTCAAGTATATTTATATATCCACCGTAAATCTCACATGGCATACGGAAAAACTGTGATATATATTTCCAATAATTGGTCCTTTGGCTAAGTGAGGAATGGTAACAAACAGCAAGTGCAAGCAACAGCGACCTCGTTATGTCAGTCAATTTCTTAAAACAGAAAGTATTTTCTTTTATTATTCTATGCTTCAGATAAAAAGCGTTAGCTACAAATAATTTGCCAGAATGAAAGTTACACAGATAACGCATAGCGGCATATGTAAAAACTGTCTAATCGAACCAAGTCAAATACGGACATGTCGCGTCATTTTAAACATTAGTTTCAATAAGCCCATTGTTATATATACACATACATTTAAATATTCATTAATTTTCATAAACATGCAAGATACCTGATCTTGATTCCTTTCCCTCAACTTCTCATCAGCAAGCTGAAATAATGTTCTGCGATCCTTGCTCATACTGTAGAACCAACACATAACTTGTAAAACTCTATCGACATCTCTAAGTGACACGAAACTACACTCGTCCTTTATTAATAAAGCATACAATGATAGACTGAGTGCTTCAACTAGTAGCACACGAAAAGATCAAAATATGAAGTATTTTCAAGTCTATGTTTTTAATAAGAATACAAAAATCAACAAGAGAGATCTGATCCCCGTTACAGAACAAGATTTAAATTAAATTTGTTTGGTTGTAATTTACATAAAATTATCCGTAGTAAATATTGAATCAATACTGATTATCTCAATTATAAATATGATCAAATAGTAAATTACTTTCTACCTTTAAACTGCGCATGTATTCTTGTGACTGAGTCAAAATTGAACTAATAACTTCAAGCAATTGTTCATCATTTGGTAGTTGTACTCTGATGCTTTCTGTACCGTTTTGCTGAAAGTAATTGTTACATGGACTGAAGATGTTTCAAAGATTGTTAGAAAAACTCACACTGGCACGAATGATACATTTGTTATGTAATAATAACATTCACACTAAGACATGATAAGTTATCTGCATTATGTGGTTCAGTAAATTACATATCGACATTGTATATAATATTTTCAATCATAATAAAATTTAAAATAATACATTTAAAACCCAATGAGCGTTTTGGAAAATAAAATAAAACTGAGTAATAGATATAAATTTTGTAAAATGAGCAAATATATATTACTGGTTGATTTAAAGTATCTTGAAAAACCAACCGTCATTCTAACATTGCATTCGGAAAAATGTAAAAGCGATAATACTGGTCCACATATGTAAAAAACTATCATATTAAATGTGAAAATTATGCTTTAACACACGGTATATTGACGGACATTATCCGTTGCCTCTAGCTTGTTTTCGGAAGGAATCGTAATTTGCTTATTTGCAAATGTTTACAACTAAATTGACCAATCCGGAAAATAAGGAAAAGCAGGGTAGATATCAAAAAGACTTTTGTGGTTGAATTAGCTTGTACTTTGGGCATAGTATGCATTTCTCTGAACCATTGTTTAACAATTACTTCGTACCTATCTGATTTATACGAAATATTGGCAATTACTTCCAATCGCTATCTAACCGAAATACTTTTTCTAATTGGAGTTAAACCCAAAAGTAATAAATATAATGTCGTGTTGTTGGATATAACAAAAGGTAACTGTGATTTTACATAACATTATTCGAGCCATGTACAAATCTTACTCAAGCACTTGCGTCTGATACAATGTAGCTTAACGCTCTCTACCCTGTCAACTAGACAGTCGGGCTTTTATATTATATGTAAAATTTAACTTGCTATCTGCAAATTTCACAAGACAAACATTTCGGAGTTTTAAAAGCAACTGCATTTAATCAATCTGTGACTAGTATATTTACCAAACATCATACATTTATATCTATAAACATGCGAATTATGAAATAAACATAAAACCGATAGATTTGTCTTTTTTATTTTCATATGCATGAATTATGAAATAAACAATCTCGCTCGAATAATTGTTTGTGTCATTTAAATAAATCATAACAAATATACGTTATGAACTTAATTATTATTACTTTACTACAATAAGAAGCTAAAACGCATAATGAATAGTTTATTAGATCTACTCTATAATTGTGTAATGTGCTGCAAAAAATAATAAATAAAAATAAAGAACTCCGCCTGAGACTGAAACTAACACTTCTTGCACACAAGGCGATCATTTTACATCTATAGCCATTGGTGTTGTGCTTTGAATAACTAATTCCCTGTGATTTTTGAAGAATGACACATAAATAATGGTTATCTTCCTACTTTTTTGATTTTGAATAGCCCAATAATAAAATGAAAATAAACGCGTTTGTTTTTATTTGTCCGCATCAATGTGTTTGTTTGTTTCGATCATTTTACTATGCAGATTGTTTCTCAAGTTCAATTTCGTTCATTGTCAAAATAATTTCTTGAGAGATCCTACATATGTTTCCTTTCAACTCGATTGTTTGTACTAAATCTGAAATGTTCGGGCGACAACGTGTTCGCTTATTCAAATAAGATCACGTAGCACAGTTTTCGTACATTTTTGGAAATTGGTGAAGTACAACCCTTTGGCCATAAAATAATTTTTGGGAATCATTTCGAATCCGTAAATATCTGTTATTTTTCCATTCATCCAAGTATTTTTAATTGCGATATAGTATATGTATTACACAGATTATTATATATAGACTTTAATTTTGCATTGATTTTGGCCAGTATTATAAGTAGAGAAAGTTTTTTAAGTCCGTCTTACATTGTTACCATTCACCATTACGTCATAAAATGTTTAAAGATATTTCACTTTAAAGATGATTAATCATATCAATGATTGATGTGAACGTATAAAACTCTTAAGATGTAGCGGCGTGAACTACGTTAAGGAAATGTACAGTTATGAAAGTAGAAAATTTGCACACTCGGTTAAATCGAATCTGATCATTAGCCTATAAAGAATTGTAAAGCATATTTTGTGACAGAATTATGAAAACTATAATACATATTGAAGTTGAACATTGACTTACTTAACTAAGAAAATGTTCATTCAAGATTTTTTAAAGAATATTTTGAGGTAAAATTCTTATATAAATATAATCTAAAGTAACAGTGAATTCGATTAAAATACAATATAAAGTCCTCACGACCATATATCTCCGGACCATGTGTCGGATGTACAAGTTTTCAACAGCTGTTGATAGTTGACCAAAATCCCAAACAAACGGAAGTAGACTCTGAGGCAATGGTTGAACACGATAAACAAGACGTCTCATTGGTATCCGGCCAAACCTGTCTTTTGTTTGGATCGCCTTTACATGGTAGCCCAGACCTGCTTTTTCAAGCTTTGTGATCACTTCTTTTGGGTACCTTAAAGGACATTATAAGCAATAAAGAAATCGCATATGAGCAAATTCTATGTAGCTGCTATATGATTCAATATAGATTTATGAAAATGAAAAAGTCAAACGAGCTTTTAGTTATCAAAATATCAAAATTATCTAAAAATAAAAGAATTCTATATTTACAAGTTGAACGTATTTTATCTATTAGACAAGACAGATAGTTACTTTCGGTAAGGATTGCACGCTGCAACAAATTTCAGGTTTTTACAGTTGAGAGGCTTCCCTTCCATTGTTTTATCACACATAATTTCCTTGATCAGCCCGATTGATTCAGTCGTGTTGGCCTCATCAAAAAACAATACTGTATATACATTTTCTCCGTATTTTTCAATATTTTCAACAGCTATTCTTTCAGCATTCCAAACTTTTGACTTGATATCCTCGTTTGTAACACCTCCGTGAACCTTCATTTAAATTGTGTGTAAATAAGTTAAAATTAGGACAAGTATCTTTCCAAGTACGTTTTAATGTGAAACCATTCCCATTATCAATGAATCAAATATAACTTTGTATGATAACGTTTGAAATGATTATAATTTAATCTTAACAATGCGTTTATTGTAAACATAGCTTAACAAGGTTTATGAAAAGGATGAAATAAAATTGTGTATTAACCTTTCAATTTGTTTTTATCTTGAAACTTAATATTGTTTCAATTCCGGTGTCAATAAATACTTATCTAGTATTCTCATTTCATATATAAAGCTAAACTTATAACAAAAAAACTGCATGTATGGTATGATTTGTCATTAGCATTTACTTATTTGCTATTTTTAGTATGACATTTTGTACAGTCATAATGATCTACGTTTTTTATAAGAGGGCTGTTCAAAAAGAATTGCTTATTGTCCTCTATCTCGTGATCCACGTGGGACACAATAAAAACCAATACATAACTGTATAGGGTACTTCAATACCTACACAACGGTGTATAAATGTACATGTTAGACTAAGTGTAAGACATACAATTTGCCATTTAAATACACGCAGTGATTGACCACTGTAGTAAAAATGGTTGGTAGAAGCGTCGACAAAAAACATGAAATACGGGCTTACATCAAAACTCGCTCAAAACTGGGTTGCTCTTTGAAGCAGTTGATGACTGAACTCTCTATTGCATATGGTCCTTCTTGTGTGTCTAAGGCGATGGAAAAAGAGATTTGAGTCTGGTGTAGAGTGCATCAAAAATGCACCAAAATAAGGTAGGCTAAAATCTGCATCTCGTAACGAAATCGTTTCCAAAATAAAGGATATCATTGAAGGAGATGCCAGATTTACAGTTCGTGATATTGCAAGAAAGGTTGGCATATCACTATCAACGGTTCATTTTATTTTGAAGAAGCATTTGAAAGTCAGAAAGAGTTCTACTAGATAGGTGCCACATCTGTTGACCGATAAGCAAAAAAGGCAACTGGTTAAGGTGGCCAAAAAGCTGCTTCAAATGTTTCCAAAATATGACAAAAACAGTTTGCTAATGTCGTCACAGGTGATGAAACTTGGGTCCATTATTTTAAGCCCGTCAGATAACTAAGCAACAAAATCTGGGCCACTAAACACACCAAACACCCAATAACTGCCAAACGGCCTTTGAGTGCAAAGAAGGTTTTGTATGCAATTTTCTTCTCTGGTGAAGGGATCGCAATAAAAGTGCCGGTGAAAAAAGGCAAAAGTATCACTTGGAAGTACTACAAAGACGAAGTACTTAAGAAACTGAAAAAGTATTATAAGAAACGACGCCCTGTCACTGGTTTTAAGCATATCCATCTTCTACATGACAATGCCCCCGCTTATATCTCCGTAATAGTTTCGGCGTTTTTGAAAAAAAGTAATTGTTTTGCCCCCCCCCCCCCCATTTTCTCCAAACATTGCCCCATATTGTTTCCGAAATTGAAATCCTTCCTTGCAGTGAGCGGAAATACAATTCCCGACAGGCACTTGGATCTGCAATTCATCTGTACCTTATTAATGTGCTCAAATCAGCGAACCGTGACGCCTTCAAGAAATGGATACATCGGCTGAAACTTTGCATTTCTAGACACGGGGAGTACTTCGAGGGCATGAAATGAACACTTTTGAACTAACTTGAAATTTGAAGTCTGCAGATAGAGATAAGCAATACATTTCGAACATCCCTCGTAGATTGTTCAATATGGTAAATTCCATTTTTACGGTAGTTACACTCGTGTTACTGTAATGTATTACCAATTTCTACACGATTTATATTTTGAAACTTTTTTAATAGGGTTATTTATTCGAGTAGTTGAGGTTTTAATCAGGCGTATAAATGCGATCAAATCATTAAACAAATCATACCTTCATAATTATCATATTGGTTGTCAATGGTTCTTGTGTATCCTTGTCCCTTGGAACCATAATCTCACACAAAAATGTAACTAATCTTGTTTTTCCACAGCCAGTTTCACCCATAATAATGACTGGTATGCCACACCTTCAGTAATCAAAGTTATTGCGTATTGAATAGAAGTGCAAGGTATAAATTAATGATTGATAAATTACATGTTATGTATGGTTATATGATATTTGTGATATATCATTTGGAAATAATTTACCCAAATATTTTAGTTATGAATTTTGCTATCCTCTGTAATAGTCTGAAAAAGATATTTGTTAACTTACCTAAATCGCATGTATACTGCAAGCATTTTCTTACAGTTATCTGTCGTCAACTCGTAAGTTTCATCGTAAACCCGTTGGTCATATTTGTCAACTCCAATTACTCTGCATAATCTTTCAATCTTGTCTTTCCTTAACGATAAGATAATCATTAAGGTTGTTTTCAGTTATTATGCATAATGTAGGATTTAAAAAGATTCTTTAAATCACTTTGTTCCTAAGCAATAAACAGAATGGGTACAATTATTTATTCAATTTAATTTAGGGTTTTAGAGTTTTACGCATGCATATCATTTATTGTTTCAAGTTTTAGTTAATATAAAGATAATCTGAATTTAAAAAAGAATCTTGAAATATCAAAACATATGTTAATATATATTTCATGTATTGTTAATTGATATGTGACCTGAATAAAACTGTAACGTAAAGGGCTTTATTGTACTGTTGGTGTTACCTTTGTAAAGAATCAAAGTCTTCCTTTATAGGGACGCCATTTTGGAGCAATGCTCGGAACAACGTTCTGCTCATGATACGTTTTTCAAGTACTTCATTACTGTGAATATCAACAAGATCCCCGAAATTGTTGATGTAAAAACCAAGAAATGTGAATGTTTGGCTATCAGCATTGAAGAAAAGGTATGGATGTGGACTGAAAAAACAGCAACATAATTTTTATGATTTTGTGCAACATATAGCTTCCAATCTGATTAAAATCAGCTCTAAATAACGCTCTGCTTTTAGATATGACCTTGAACAAATACGAAATCATCTGGTGACCTTTCACTATAATAGGCGAGCTTTCATAATTTTGAAAGCGATGTGGTTCCTAATTTTTACCCTGGAAAAACCAATACTAAAAAGCTTATTTTCACGAGTCTATGACATCTCGACCCCTTGACACCTCGACCCCTCAGACATCTCGACCCATGACACTTAGACTCCTAAGACACTCAGACCCCTAAAATTGACTGGACATTTCGACCCTTAATCTATAATGTACTTTTAAACGTTAAATTCGGAAAAAATAATGTGCATAAAGACGTAAATATAGAAAAATAGTGTTTATTTTTACAAGTTTGATATTATATATAATCTAATCGATATTCTGAATTAAAAGTGAAATCATATTAAGCCGTTATTTGCTATACAGTATCCTTTATTGAAGTCAAGCATTTTATATAAAGAATATAAAAACACGCATTACATTTTAACAGAAAGTATATTATGTTTATTTAAATATGTATACATAATTTATCATGTATCATATATCATGAATACGTATCAGTCGTTTTGTAAATTACCTTTTCTAAACATTGTCATTATTTCCATATGCACTTGTAAATTTCTATTAATCAAACTTATCGAACTAATAATATGCTTATAATACTATATTTTAATGAAGATACGTGAACATGTATTTGTTATACACGCTTTCATATTTACTAGGTCATCGGCACGTTAGTAGGAAATTAAGTATCGAAAACTTTTCTGTCATTTAAAATCAATCAATAAATCGTAATAATTTATGGAAACTAACGAAATATTTTCTAATGTCCGTATAGCCAACATGTGGACTTGCATAACAATCATGACCATTAAAAATTGACTTCAAGTTACATTTCTTTCCTTAACATAATTTACCAATTTGTTTAATTTCCGAATGTAACGGTATTTTGATACTTAATTCTTCTAATGCTAAAACCCGGTTTGAATGCATGGTTAAATAGCTTTCTCTGGAAATCCGAAATATAAAGAAGGCGAAACGTATACGGCCGCCATTAGATCTACATGAAGAACTAAGTAGATCTGAACTTTAGTCTTTACATCAAAGAGTAATTAGATCAAATATTTATCAAAATTTAATAAAACATAATATAAATTGAGCATCCCGCCTTTTTTCGCAAAAAGACAGCAGGACTATTTTGTGAGATATTTTAAACTTAATCTTATTTTCTTCATTTTATATTAAAACAATCTAAAGTAAACCTGCTATTCCACGTCCTTTTTATTTCATAATCATGTAGATCATTTCTTTCGGTTTCGTTTTCCCTGCTTTCACAAGAGTCCTCGCTTAAATTGAGAGACCGACTTGAGAAGTCCTGTTTGATGAAATGTTATTTGTTATCAGTATATAGTAAAATGTGATAATTTATAAGTATATTTCTCTCACTTTTTATAGAAGGACGCATCTTGTTATGATATATGAGTAATTATTTTATTCTATAAAATTGCTTCACTGCATGAATTAATTTTTATTATAAAAGACAAAAAACATTTCATACAATAGATGAAAATATTGACAGAGTGAGTGTGCATAAGTGATATGTATCTATAATCTGTTAGATATTAAACACAATTAAGCTACTGACCCTTGACATCTGAATAAGAAACTTTTTGACGAACATTGGAAAACCTGGCAGTACATCTTTGAAATCTTCACTGACTAATTTTGTTTTGCAAAAATCCAGTAACTGGGTGTTTAAAAAAGTAACAAAGTGATGGATTTCTGACCATGACGGGTTTGAAACACCACAGTGTCTAAAAGGTTAAAACAAGCACAACTGTTAAAGAATTTGCAAACATGATAGCACTTAATGATAGTTATATTCAATATAATATATATTTATATTTAAATGATATAATAGACATTTTATAAGTACCCTCTTTCTAGGATCTAGAACTAAGCCATTATCATTTTTAACTCTAACGAATTCTATCTAACCATACATTTAAACAAATTTTAAACGCACACACCTTATCTCAAAACGTTTTTTTTTTCTTCAAGGTTTTATGTAATATAGTAATATAAAAATGTCGACAGGACAATTTTCAATACAATATGATATATATCTTACCTTAACATTGTTTCAATGCAATGCAATTCTGAACTTTCATTGTAAGCAAAATCAATGCTTTTAAGACACTCGTATGGTTGTTGGTACAATTCCATTTCGTACAGTTTTGAGTCAAACAATTGGTCGTATTCAATGTAATCTAGTGCAAAAAAATGTTTAAAAAACATCAAATAAATGTATATCATAAATAACCAACTGGAAAAAATACTTCTGGCCACATTTTAAATGGATGATCTTTCTATGTGAATTTTGATCATTTATTATAACCAAAAGTTTGTCTGAACATTCACACCAAATATAGAAATAATTCCATTTAGCTTTTAACGTTGTTACATTTCTTCACTTACATTCAGTGAAGGTCATTCTTTGTCGTTCATACTTAACTCTCGCACATTAACAAATCAACATCACTTCCAGTCAATCAGTCAAATAAAATGGCATAAGCTTTTCTTTTAAATCAATGTGTATATTTCAGTCTTAAAATGAAACAGTTTTAGGCCTAGCAGTCAAAATAGCAATCATCTTAATATATAACAGGTGGAAAGTGTGTAATCTTTAAATAAAAGACGTTAAATTTAATAAGAAAAGCATACCGTCCGGGTAATTTCCTTTGTATATATCTAAACACTCCTTTGGTGATCTACATACAACGAATGGAAGAAGCTGTAACATTGATCTTTCATTTTTATTTCCCCAGCTCTGAAACATATTTATAAATGTTCATAATAAGATATTATTAACACTTGTGTTCTTTGTCAGCAGAGTATTCATTATGATAGCAAATAGTGACCACAGATTTTCAGAAACATACTTGAATTTCGATACTTTATAAAAAACCACATCATTTAGTTTACACAATATTAATATTATCTGAAATTATTATGTTTTTATGCCTATAACGTTAGTGAACAACATCATCGCTTTTCAATGGATAACCGTGACATGTATTTAAACTATTATTACAGATGCTGTGTTTAGGAAGTAATGGCCCATGCTCTTCAAAACAAATGGTTGTCTGTATTATTTATTTTACATGATATATTGGCGTATGAAAACGGATATTTGTTAAATGTATGCAAACAATCCGTTTTATAGGATCATATAACCTGCCGAAAATCTTATAACAAAAAAATTAAACCCAGAAGATACCCTTTGTTCTAGTGTTTCAATTAAATATAAATCTGTGGGCATCTTTCGCCAAACATATCCGGACTTGTCCACAAGTGCCCCGAGTATCAGCAGATTAAACAGAAGATAATCAATTCCAAACTGGACCTGTAAACAAGAAATAAAATGTACGATTAGAAACAACAGAACGAAATATCAAAATTGACAATAGAAATTGTATAACAATGCGTGATGTTTTATTAATTCTATTAACACTGTTAAAACAAATTCTGTAGCTAAAGAATGTCTAATATAATTTGAAATATACTGCCTTGCTATAATTTATATTTCTACATTTCAAATAAAACAAACAACAATACAATTTTAAAATATAAAAAAAATAAATACATAAATAAATAAAGCATTATTACCTCGTTTGTGATATCAATGTGAAGAATTTTTGCACAAAGCTCTTCTGGTTCCTCAATATGTTGTAAAAGATTGGAAGTCACATAATTAAAATTCACATTTCTTTCATGAAGAGGTAAAGACACTCTTTGAGTTACGTTTGTCTGATTCGTTTGCTGAAGTTCTTCTTCTTTTCTTAATACATACAATGTTTTGCCACAACCATTCCGAGGGGACTTAACAACACGCACAGTGGATCTGAACATAATTTTAACAATTATTGCTGGACCCTTAGGAATCATTTGAAAACATTGGGAAATGATTGATATTCCAAGTTAACTACATTATGCTCCTTTCTTGAATTTCTAAATATCTATCATGCCCTTAATCCATAATACACAACTTATTAAAGACATATTTGACATTTCTAAACAATACAACATATTAATTTCTGAGGCATTCTGTGCCTTTACTAGTTTTAAATCCCACCCACTTGAAAAAAAACTGTAACTTACTTTTCAAAATCAACAGATGCAGCGGGACTAATTGTGTCTGACTGACTTGTATTTTGAAATTTATGTAGAAGGCAGGTACAAAGTTCGATTTGTTCCATCAGGAAAACTGTTCCACGATACTTGTCAAGAGATGAAATCAAGGCAGATCTGTTCTCACTATCTGATCCGCATATGAATACAAGTCGGTAATCTGTCGAATTTAATATTTAATTTTAACTATTGCTCTCCAAACATTCGACGTTTTACGTAAACATATTTGCTAATCGCGCGAATATTGTTCTTTTCATTTGTATTTGTTTTGGTTTATATCACACCAGCACATAAAAAGCACATATAGCGACTTCAAAACTGTACTGGTGTTGTAAGACATCAAGTACCCTATGAAATGGCGCAAACGTTTAGTAAGCAAACTGAATAGATTCCTGACATGAAAAATACCCGATTTGAACCCACCTCAGTGACGGCCAATGGTCTTAAGTGTACGACATAGACTATAAAATTGTAAGTCAAGAACTCGATGCTTTAAAACCTTTGCCCACAACCGCTTAATATGATCATATTCAACCTTACAGAAATAGAATAAATGACAGACAATAGAGAATATTTGTTTTCAGACACAACCTTTTTGTAAAAACAAGCCATTAAATATAGGTTTGCTATTCAAGTAAAATCAACAGTCATGTAAAATACCTGAATGGACATCACGCTGATACTTTATTAATAGTTGTTCAATTCCTTCACAAAGTGTTAAACTCATTTTGTCTACGTTTATGACGGTGTGGATCTTCCCACATGAGTTGAAAAGTGCTCGTCTCAGAAAAATGTCCACCTTAAATAAAACAGATCATGCATAGATTTCAGATATATTGCATTAATTGTCAATATTAATTGTAATGAGACGACAATTACTTTTGTTCTCCCATAATTTAAAATTTTTCATGTTGTGAAACACATTTGTGAAAAAAAGAAATGGTAACACAAGCAATGTCAATAAATCATGGATCATGCCTCAATACACGATTAACTTTGAGTTTAATTCCCAAATGCAATCAAATTGATGACTACAACCATTAATTCCAAGTTTGAATTGCTGCATTTCACGAAATTAAACCCGTGAATAGAAAACATGTGTTTTTATAAGCTTTATGTGAAAAGTTATAATTAATCTATAATTCAAATGTGATTTTTTTAACATATCATTGCGGAAAGTAATAATTATACGTAATACCTGTTCAATCGATGTGTCTTCTGAACATGTCAAAATTTCATCATGGAATGGTAGTGGTTGTGATTTATCACAGAGGTAAAGGGATAATGTTTGAGACCATATGTTTTCTGCAAAATCGCAATATCTTTTAGAACATTTAAATTCATTCATATTATAGATGCAAAAACAACATGTATTTCTCTTCAAATGATTTTCCTTCCATTGTTTGATTTTAATCATTATGCAGTTACATGTACGAATCTCATGTATTGACAACAAAAACAGGAAAAGGGAGATCCCTGAGAGCAATGACAAAGTAAATAGTTGACGCTTGCAGACAGGGTTTTATTGAATATATTCGATGCATTAGAGATAATGTAATGCCCAACTGCTCTCCAACGCATCATTTAAACCATTTCGTATGTTTCTAGTAGTTGTGTTAATGTTTAATCAAAATTATCAAATTAGATTCTCCTTTGAAACTTGTATTATAACACTGCGAAGTGATTCCTTTTATGTTTTATTAATTTGGTCCATTTTTTTCTATACATTTAAACTTATAATCTACTCATTTTATTCATTAAATCAAATCAACAAAGGGTCTCTTTTACCTTTTTTATTTAATGAAAAGTGTTATTTTCAATGGAGTGTATCAAATGAAATAGTATATGTCCTAATCATTAAGATCATCTAAAAAGGCAGCCCTACCATTTTTGCATACAACTAGATTGGGTGATCTTTCGGAACAACCTCTAGGTAAAGATCGGCTAATTTTGCGCTGACCTAAAAAGTCAAAAAGAAATAATTTATAATTCCTAACACAAATAATGTTTAGGCAAGAAAATGACTTAAAGAAAGACGTGATATAAATTTGATTTGAACCATTTTTAAATTTCTTTAAATATAAGTATTGTACCTTTGATTAAATGATGCATATCAAAACATAATCATACCTTTCTCTGCAAGATGTCGAAGTAAAATTCCGACATACTTTAAGCTGATAAAATTGTTGAGATTATCTTCAATGGATTCTAGAAACTGTTTCCATGTTTCTTCGAATTTTGTCAGCATTTTTTCACATGTGTCAAACTGACTGAAAAGACGTATCAGTGTTGTAAGTTTTACATAACAAAATTTGAACACTGAATTCTAAATGGTTTACAGCCGTTTCTTTGATAATCATTTGAAATAGATATAAATGTGAATGTTATCTTATCCCGTTTATTTATAAAATTTCGCTCTTGCAGTAAAAAGTAAAATAAAAAATAGATAAAATCTGTATATAAAAACCTTTTCATATCGTCCACCCTAGATGCAAGAGTTTGCGAATCGGTTTCATTTCGTTCAAGAATTCGAGATTCTTCAAAATCGCAATCAGCCGTCTCTAACGATTGACTATCCTCCAATTCATCAATTTTATCTTCATTTTCCACGCACCAATATAATGCTAAAATAATAAGATTGAATTTGTGAAAAATGCTATGCCACCGCATTGCATAAATACAACACTAAATAATATAAACAGAATTTTGTTTTAATTCTATACAATTGAATTTTGCAATAATCCAGTTGTGTCTAGTCAATTGGGGCTCCAGGTCCTATTCGTAAATGTATACATATATGTTTGTTATAATTTTTATTACTTTTTGTTTGTTTTTAAGGCCATTGTAAATGTATATAATTCCATTGTCAAGCGCCTTTGAACATTTTATTTTTGAGAAAGGCGCTATAAAAATGTGGTAATTATTATTATTATTATTATTATTGTTATTTTTATATTGCATAATTTCAAATGAAATACAATCTACAGATGTGTATATACAAGGATTATAGTATCCCGTCGAGCCTGCTGTCACATCTGACCTTGAGCTTTGACCTAGAGCGGAAAGTTGTCGTCTCATAATACTAAACAGGTGCCAGGTTATTTGAAAGTCCATCAGCTTGTGATAGTAATGGTGAAACAGGCTGTATGAGACTTTTTTTGCAATTGACCTTGACCTTTGACCTAGCCACACGGTTCTTGCGCGCGATACGCCATAGAATAATGTTGAACATTTGTGCCAGGATTTATGAAAATCCTCCATCTAGTGATAGAGTTATAGTGCGGACAAGTTGTTTGAGACCATTTTTGCATTTGACCTTAAAATAAGACCGACATCTTTGTCTTAGCGATACGGTTCTTGCCTACGACACACCGACTCATTATTGTAAATATTTGATCAAGTTATTAAACATTCTGCTTACTAATGGCAGATTTACAACCTGGACAAGCATAATCTGGGCGTAATAAGACCTTGACCTTTGACCTAGCCAAATAATTCTTGCGTGATATACGCCAGCTCATGATGTTGAACATTTGTGCCAAGTTATTTAAAATTCAACCAGACGTGACTGACTTATGGTGCGAACATGCTGTATGAGACTAATTTGTTTGTATTTGACCTTAAAGTATGACCTTGATTTTTACTTAGCCGCGCGACACGCCATCACAAAATGTTGATCAAGTTATTTGAAATTCTACCAGCTAATGAAAGAGTTACGGTACGGATAATCTGTTTGAGACCATGTTTTTGCATTTGCCATAAAGTAAAACCTTGACCTTTGACCTAGCAACACGGTTCTTGCACGGGACATGCCATCTCTTTATTGTGATTTTTTTGTGCTAAGATATTTAAAATTCTACCAACTAATGACTAGTTACCACCCGGACAAACATAATCCTGACGGTGGTAAGAGCTTAAACCTTTGACCTACCCAACTAATTCTTGCGCACAACATGCAATCTCATGATGTTGAACATTTGTGCCAGGTTATTTGAAATTACACTAGCTAGTAATAGAGATATAATGATAATAAGCTGTTCAAGACCATTTTCTTTTACATCTAAATTTAAAATATGACCTTAACCTTTGGCCTAGCCACCCGGGTCTTACGCGCAACACGCCATCTCATGATGTTGAACATTTATGTTAGGTAATTTGAGAATTCACTAGCTAGTGATAGAGTTATGGTGCGGACACATTGTTTGAGACCATTTTGTTGCATTTTACCTTAAAGTTTAACCTTGACCTTTGACCTAGCACTACGGTTTTTTACGCACGTAACAGTGTCCCATTATTGTGATAATTATTGTGCTACGTTCTTTAAAATATGCCTACTTATGACAGAGTTACGACCCGGACAAGCATAATCCATACGGACTGACGGACCGACGCACGTACATACACCGAACTGCCATTGTGACAACTATGTCGAGTTATCAGCAAGCGGGCTGACAATTAAGTATTCTAACTTGATAAAGATATTGGTATTTACTACCTTACATTTGTTGTATTAAACTTTTAAAACAAAAGCAGTTATTCTCTTAAATACTTCTTTTTAAATTAAGCATTCCCTATTTCTGAAAACATAAGGAAAAAAATTAAATACTTAATTATATACCTGGTGTGAATCATTTTGCCCTTAACATATGCTCAGATTATTTCATAAATATCACTGCAAGGCAAACTACTCTCTTGCTTTAGGTCATGAACTCGAACAATTTCAAAAGGTTCTCTTAAAAGTAAACACCTCTCATGCTAGAGGACAAACTCCCAAGTATTGAAGTTAAAAAAGAGCATAACATGTACATATGTATAAAAAGGGGACCAATGGCTTAGATTTAGGTCATTTGAAACACCTAACATTGTGCACATGGTCAACATTTCATAGATGTATATAACAAGAGGGCCTGTGGCCCCAAAGCGCTCATCAGAGAACAAAAGACTTTTATTTGTGTGAAAGAAGTGAAAGCTATTGTTTATTACAAGTCTTTGAATTATGTTGGTTACCAGACTATACTTCATGCAAAATGTATTTTTAATTATACTATTTACACGGTTACAATTTCATAGCTATAAATCAAAAATACAAAATTAGGTCAGTAGGCCAATATCTATTATCAAGGTCATATGATATCAAATCTCAATTCTGCTCATTGTTAAAATGAAATAACTGTACAGTGTAACTTCTGAATTCCGGAACTTCTAAAATCCGGAAACTTCTGAAATCCTAAAATTTTTCAGGGGCCCGAAATTTGTCGTTCTGTTTTCTATGTAATCAAAACCTCTGAATTACGGAACTTCTAAATTCTGAATTCCGAACGATTTTCTGGTAAAATTTGGGTTATATCAATTATAATTTACTTCCAAAATCCGGAACTTAAAAAGGTGTGAAGGAATATTATACTTGTAATTGAAAGACCTTAAAAATGTCAAATATCTTCCAGTTAACAGGACCCATTAATCTTGACACCTATTAGAATTGCAACCTGTCAAACATACCAAACACTTGTTTAAAGTGTGAAAATAAAGAAATTGAGAAAATGAAAAAAATACAGGTAAATAGCACGTACTACATGTATATGAAATATACTAAAGGATACATTGTGATAATTAACATTATGCTATTGTATCAGCAAATTCAGTTATACGTGATAATGAAATTTAAAATAGTACAAGTCCTATAATTTTTCTATTTTTATTAATTGATCAGCTTCATATATTTTTACCACGTCTCACTATAAAACAATTGATGTATAATAATTGTACTTGTTCAGATAATTCCGAACTTTTGAATTCCGAAAACTTCCAAATTTCAAACTTTTTGTCTAGTCCCACAGGTGTTCGGTTATCAGAAGTTACACTGTATATAAAAACCCCAAAGGCGGTCACTTCATCAAAATCTAGGTAAGCTGATTCCAAAGTTAATCTTTACATAACCCAAATTTCATGGCTATCTAGCTGATATTAAAGTTCTTTTTTATCCCAAACTGTGCACATGGTCCAAATTCCATGGCTGTACATCATGGGACAAGAAATAAGGTCACTGTGACAACTTGGATAGGGCAAAATTTTGACCCAAAGGCTTTAATTTAAATAATCTTGATACAGGTCCACAAGACAATGTCGACAATGCAAGCTATAGCTTTTTCCTATAAGAAAACATTTGTTTAGTTTTTTGTTATCACTTTAAACCATTGAACCCTAGGGCGGGGCCAATTTTGACCTCAGGGCTCAAATTTGAACAATCTTGGTATAGGTCTACTACAATTTGTTTCATGCTGAATATCATACCTATAGCTTATGTCAATTAAAGGGAAAAGGTTTTTTAAGTGTTTACTTTTATATACATATAACGAAAACCAATGACACCTCGGAGGGCCACTTTTGAAACTAAGGGCAGAATTTGAACAACTTTCATAGAGGAACTATAGATGATATTAGATATCAAATATCAAAGTTCTAAAACTTGTACCTTCAGACAAGATTTTCTTTCAAGTTTTTTTAATGCACATAATAAAAATCAATGACCCCTGGGGTAGGGCCGCTAGTAGGTCGCTATATGCCACCGCATCGCAGATGCTACAGTGGCAATAAACAACAATCGTTTCGCTTTTTCACTATTAGTTTTGACTCAAAGATAGTATCATAACACTTATTTAATAAATATGATAATTGTTACTTCTGAATTGATGAATCAAAATGAAAGTAAATAAATTTATCTTTTATATTATGACATATTGTAATATGCCAAATGAAGCATAAAATGTAACATATTTATGAAATAGAATATTGATGTCAAATGTGTTACCGTTCGAAACATTCAAGTCAGGAAATCGCTTCAATGCTAACGGAACAAGTCTTTTATAACCTAGTTCAATCAACTTGGATATGAACTTTTCTTCCGGGAAGATTTCTGCCACGTTCTCATTCATAATTGTAGCTGATTCTTTTCCGGTATCTCCATTGATTACTGATGAAGAACTTAAGAAAGCATCTTTAATATCGTCTGAATGATGAAAAAATATAATAAAATTTAATTTTTGGGGACAAAAATCTTTCTTTAATTTTTTATAAACGCATATTGAATGGGTTTGTTTTCAAAATTAGATATAAAATAGCAGATTTCTGATTGCTTTATCAAAGTATTTAAAGACAATGTTTCGCTTTCTCTAAAATAACCTATGACAAGAGTTTAACACTACTTGTTGAATACCACTGGCCTCTCACCGCTGTGGGTTCGAATCCCGACAGGGACTTGTTTGGATTGTTTCATGTGAGGGAGCTAACCAGCTAGCTTACGCAACGTCGGTGGTTCTACTCAGGTGCCAGTTCGTGCCTGAAATAATGCACGAAAGAGCACCTGAGGTCTTCCTCATCAGAAAAGCTGGAACGTCGCCATATGACTTATTCTGTGCCGGTGTGACGTAAAAGCCAATCAAACAAGCAAACAACCTTGTTGAATAATGTTACTGTTGCACTGGAAAGTTTTATATGTAAGAAGAGAAAAGGAAAATTCCTGAAACGGTTATATTTTCATATTTTTAAGATATAAATACATATCTCGTATAATATCAATGTCACAATGTTACAAAATATACAAATGAACATTATATAACTATGAAACATTAAAAGCATGAAGCAAGCAGATGTCTGTGTACTTGTCGTTTTATGTGCATTCATAGTCTACATAATTATGCATAAATATATAAATCTAGTATTATTGTAACACAGTCAATTGCGTGATTTCTACAAACCACACAGGTGGCATAATCATGATCTTTATTCGATCAGGATGTTCATACCTGGTTTACAGTTCTGTATTATGTCCTGAAGCATTGGATATATCATTTTTGAAGGTTCTTCGCTTTTACGAAGCTTACAGAACTCGGTTTGTAGTATTACAAGTTGTTCTATTGTAAAATAGTTCAGTTCTGGATAGAGTTGCCGGTGTTTGTCAACATGTTCTAGCCACGTTGAAAAGCATGATTCCATTGTAGTTGAAATTTTGTGCATTATATTTTCCAATTGTTCATTCTCCGTTTTCCGACACTGAAATAAGAAGGATGGCCATTATGACGTAATTACTTACTCAAGAACACAGTTTTCAATGTCTCATTTTCGACTCATATGCACAGCAGCTGTACAAAAGGTTTTATTTCCATTTTAACCTTTGCCAGTCGTCATCTTCAAAGAACCGAAACAATTACAATTACCGTTATAACCATGAACGTCGGTTTGTAATTATGTCACAATCAAAACGTTGTACTCAAGTGAAGTTGAAATATAGCAATTCAAATTCCATTCGCAGAACAGAATCAAATGAATTCAATTTAAGTTTCAATTTAAAACTTGAACAAGAAGGCAAAGAAGTATAGAAGATATTTACTTTTTCTTTTTATTAAAACTAAGACTTTGACATGGGAACCATACGCCGCATTTCATGGTATGACATGAACGTGTTAACCACCATCTGCTGATGTTTTTAAATTCAAATTCTTACCATTTTCGTATTAAAATAAATATTTATTTCTGCTTAAGCCGGTGCCATGAACAGTCTCAATCCAACCGAGTCTGTAACATTTTCAATTTTGTCGAATTCTGTTTTCTCTATTAAATATATAGTTTATTGTGTCATGTGTAGGCCATAAAAAGTCGCCCCGTACATTTAATCAAAATATGCCATTCTCCGATCCTAGAAGATCGAACAGTTCTCATTTTGATATATATGGACTGGAAACACATTTAAGTCCTTCTATGTGAAACTACAAGAACAAAACCTAGATAGTTTGCATGTAGCATTGCCAAGTGGTCATCTACAAACGTTATATTAGTCATACCCCTTTGGTCAATATTGACCTCGGCACGGGCGTCACTGTAAATATATATATATAGGTTTGTGAAAAATATTTGCATCTACAAAATACCTTTCAAAAACACTGGATCCAAAGAAAGATACAAGAACGTGGAAAAAAACAATAAATTTTGAGAAAATAAACGTTCATACAGTGCTAAAGTATAAATACCCAAGTACTTTCGGCGTATTATGCCTTCATCAGGGGTGTATTAAATGTATAATGTGCACACAATCGAGCACAAAATCTCAATTCGTGTGTACTGTATAGTATCAAAACTTGAACTGTAATACACCCCTGATGAAGGCATAATACGCCGAAAGTACTTGGGTATTTATACTTTAGCACTGTATGAACGTTTATTTTCTCTAAATTTATATATATATACATATAGTCTATTATCAATATATCAACATCGTTTTTCTAGATTTTTCACGACAAAATATTTTAAGTCCCGATTTCTCCCTTCTTTATCTATATAAATTACATTTCAGCTTTATTATCACCATTCTTCAGTATCCTGGATTAAAAGTTAGGTACCATCAGCTATTTTAGCACTATAATCCTTTGTTAATCACGACTTTTATTTTTTTTGTAAAAACACAACGCCGACAATTATTACAGAATTAGGCACGAAATTCCTTCACCTAACACACACCGTAAAATGTGTCATATTTGTTAAAAAGTCTAATGGTTTGAATAAATCGTGATGATATTTGCGTGTTAGCTGACAAAGTCCTATACGAGTGAAGTTTCTTTCAGGGTTGTAGTGTTTACTTAATACGGTAATAATTTCATAATTTTTACAAAGCAATTTTTATTGTCTTGTGTAAAATAAATACCACTATATGCTTAACATTTATTAGATAAAAAGACACAATTATTATTTTAGTGTTATATTGTAAAGTTTTTCAGACACTGTGTGTTTTACACACCTTGAGTTGACACTTGTTATTTCTCCTTGCTCCTTTTTTAACTGTTATCATGGCTACTTAGTTTATCTTGATTTTCGTTGTCTCGATTTATTTAAGACAACTCCAAGATATCGAGACAGTAGGCATAACATTTATATAACAAAACTTATTTACGTTTTATTATAGCCCACAACACATGAATTTTATGGGTATATAAGTGTCAGCTTGTCGGTCGGTAGGTCAAAACGTCTGTCGGTCGGTCAATTTCATAATTTCCGGACGAGTTTACAATGAGTAATTGTAAGCAAACTTGGTATTCGTGGGAAAAATATATACGAAAAAGGTCTACGAATAATAGCTAGAGTTCTGAATGGCATTTAGTTATCAAACATTGTATATGGCACCCTTATATGTAAACACAGGTTTTGGACCACCTGGGCTCAAGATCTTTGTCATTTCAAATAGAACATGTAGAACCTTCTTAGGATTGCTTTTGAGCTACATGGGGTAAAGGTCAATGTAACTGTATCTAAAAATAGAAAAAACGTTTTCGGACAATTACAAGAGTAAGAAACTAGATATTGTTAACAAACTTGGTATATAACACCATAAAAAGGTTCGCGTTAGAACTGTTCTTTGCAATACCTGGGATCAAGGCTACTGTTACCCGAGTTTGCAACATTTTTAATTTTGTCGTTTTGGGCGTCCTTTAGGCTATCTGTTTTTCTAGATTTCGTTCACTTCCAATTTTTACTACTCGATAAGATTGCATTAATTCTTTTGACATGATAATAATTGTTATACATACCTGTAGAATCGATTCTTGGTTTGCGAGATACAAGCTAGCAGCAATTGATCGATTTGGATTAGTATCACATACAAGTTCAATTGCAAAATTTTGGAAAAACATACATCCTGACTTGACAAGTTTGATGTAAATGTTGCATAATCTGACGACCCATTCTAAGATCTACAAACGAACCGAAATAATAAGCATTGGTTAGCATGCTTAAAATATATGACACATTGAATTTTATCTATAAATTGCACACGTTGAGCAAAGAAACAAAATTTGTTCTGAATCTGTTTATGCGAATATACACATTTATTTAATTTTACCCATGAAATAGGGTGCTATATCAGGCAACTATACTTCATATTTTTTAAAAATAAATATGAAATATAAATATGAAATTGGGCGGAGTCAAAACTCATATTTATTTTAAGGGACTTCTTTCGACGTTTTGTTTGGAAAATCTGATTAATACAAAACAACTTTTTCTTGAATATTGTTTTGAAAACTATCTAGCATGATAGAAAATGGTCTAACTTAGAAAATTAATCCGAACACCAATATCTTTAATTCAGTAATTAACGCTGTACAGACGTTTAAAGGGTTGTTTACATGGCGTCACAATGTAGCGCCAAACAGCGCGTGCTTACGCATAAATTTCTGCGCGCTGTACAATTGCAGCTGGTAGCAAGCAAAGGGATTCGTTACCATTTTCTTTGATAATGAAATTAAATGAAAAGGTTATTTTTTCGTTTTTCGTGAAATATTGTATTTATTTTCACTCAACAAGATAAAATGCCACATATTTTCACTCGCCGTACCGGCTCGTGAAAATATGTGGCATTTTATCATGTTTCGTGAAAATATATTCCATATTTCACGCAAACGAAAAAATATCCTCTTAGTCTTTATAATGTCATTCAAATCTTTATCAAAAACAATTGATTAAGATATGTTTAAATTATCTTTGATACAATATTAGTAGTACAATACGTTCAAAAAACATAAGATATCCGTGTAAGTAGATAAAAAATAATACCTTGTTAAAGCGCTCTACGCTGATCTTGCTCTTTTCTGCTTCACCTGCATCTAGCATTAATCTACTTTGTAGATCTTGTAGTTTATCATATGTGTATTCACGGTTGCTTCCTTCATCCATAGCTAATGTCAGTTTTAAGACTTTTTTGATATCCTGAAATTAAATACTAGTTAGATAATTTACAAATGATTCGTTGTGACTATGCATTAAATATATCAAAGGCAAAGCAAAAAAAGAAAGAACGTCAAAAAGATCGCAAACGTCAATTAGTTTCAACGAAATTCGGAATATTGTCAAAAGGTATACTGTTACTTTTTATTCTTTGTGTTGCTATAAATGAAAGGAGTTAGTCAAAAAAAATGTACTGCTTACTTTTATATCTATGAACTCCCAAACCTTGGGTGGACTAGTACACATTGAATGTATATGATCTAACCCAATAATCCTAACATTTACATAATGTTTGTTTACATGTGTAGGTAAAATTCTGGAGAAATACCAAAATGCCGTATTCGTTCGGTATATCTAAAACAATGTGTTCGAGGTCAGTCCGCAATTAAATGGAAAGGTCGAGAAGATGTGATTGCTTTATTAAATATGTTTGACTTTCACGTTTTTGTTAAGTGTAATTTACCGAAAACTCCGCAAGGGAAATTTGACAACCCTGTCCCCCAAATGCTTTCCACACTTTTGTACCAATCTGATAAACGCCACATTCATTTATATTCTCTGCTTGCATAAACGAAGAAACTTCCACGGCACCATGTGCTTGTTTTATTTCCTTGAACCAGTGGAGATAACGTTGAGCATATTCCTTAAAACAATATCAGATAAATACAGAATTAAAACTTATGTAAAATCATAAAAAAAACAATGTCACAAACAAAAAAGAACTATGTGTAACATTACCACTAAGAAAGTGTCAACAATAAAATAATATTTTTTAAGGAATACCTCGATATATATATAATATTTCTTACTAGTTTTTCTGGTAATTTTGGTGTGTTTTTTAACTCCTCAAACACAGAATCACATGCTTTCAGTACTTCTTTGTAACCGCTTGTTTTTTTTATTTCAAAAATGAGAGTTGCATATCCATTTACTGCAACAGCCAAACTTTGAACTCTGCTAATTTTCTCTGTGTCATCCCCAGCATATGTCATTCCCATTTCTACAAAAGTGTTCAGCTCTTTTATGCCACCTAAAATATGGAATATACATTAAAAGAAAAGGAAAGACACTTTTAATCATTTTAACTATAACTATATTATTTTGGTCTGTTCTGATTATCAAGTCTGTACGTATTTACATTATGCAGAACAGCAAAACATATCAGATACTCGAAATTTACCTCAACAATATCTCCTAAAATGTACATAATACAACTGTTACAATAATCAACAAGAGAGAAAAGCGAAAGGCATATTCAATATGAAATAATTCAAAACAAAATACAAGGTTTCCTTCTGAATAAGTAAGTAAAATCAAGTATTTGATGTAGAGATATATTTCGATAACTATTTCATAAAAAGTTTATAAGATAACATTAATATTAGAATATGTTTACCTTTAATAATGATACGGAGCCATGATATAAGATCAGCACAATTTGCAAAGGCTTCTAGACATGCTGCTCCCTCTTTTGTTACATGGTACAAGTCTCGACTGCTTAACAGTATTTCCTCTTTTGCTGAACTCAGAGTTAAAGTTTTGATGTCGTACTATAAAAATATTTTCACATGTATAGCAAAACCGTTTCCACATTTCTTCAAACAAATGATTTTACACATGGTTAATTTGACAGAAATTCAACATTAACAGTTTGAAAGACGCAAGAACTTTATGTAAGCTTAGAAAATGGACATAAACCTAACAGGACAGTGAATTATCGATAATTTACAATTATCATTATATTCAAACCATGTTTTAAATACATAACGTCCTGGTTGTATCTGATAAAACATCATGATGGTTCTTCGGGATCATTGATGCCAGCACTATTAAGTGTTGAGAAATGAGTACCGTTCAAGCCGGTGCTAGGGGGCGTGAGGGATGTTGCACTTATTCAATATCCCTCATGTACAGACTCAATCAAACCGAGTCTGCAATTCTAATGTAATTTTGTTGTGATTAATACTTCCGAGGGATCACTTTGTTTCCAGATTTTTTTTCATTAAAAAAAAGAGAAGCAATGCTTACGTTTTTGAAATGTTCGACGACACTAAAGTTTCCAGAAAGTCCATAGACATCTTTGACTTTGCATAAGGCAGATGCCACTTCAGTAACTACTCTGATCTGTCTGCATTGTTTAAACTGTTGAATGCGTTCACTCAGAACTTTAGGAGATAAATCAGGACAAACAGTTTTAAGCTCGAAGAAGATTGTGTCGTAATTCCTCCCGCAAATATTTCCGACAAAGTCTTCCATGTCAATGTAAGCTATTTCACCTGAGGAAATTTGTTTTGCCTTTTCTTTCAATCTGAATAAAATTTATTTTGTAAGACTTTTTTTATTTCATAATATTTATAAATGTGATGATCTTTATAGTTTAGTCACTGATATTTGAAAGTATTTGTTACAAATATCTATTTGGCAGTCATGTTTTCATGTCTGGAATTCAAATATTTAATTTGTGGATAAGAGATATTTTTTCTAATAAAAGTAATCTTAAGGCAAATAAAAGTAAAACTAACTACTATTAAGATTACATTCCATATTTGTGTCAAACAATGTGCTAAAACAAATATTGTTGTACGTGAGTTTTACACACACACACACAAAACATTACCTCTCAACTGACGGTAAATAAACATGTTGATATAGATCATTGAGGCTGAGAGAAGTCTGTCTGTGTAAATCCAAGATCAATCGCTTCCATTGCGCAGTGAAACATCCACTCTTCTTCAATTCTTCAAGACAGATAATCATATGTATTACCTCTTCGTTTAAGCTTTTGACATTGATTTGAACATTGTGGGTCATTTCTTCTGACTTGTCCGCCAGCTTTTGCACTATCACCAATTCATTCAATGCGCTTTCTTCAACATTTTTCTTAAGAATATCTTCAACATCTTCCATGTCGACTTGCACTTAAAAAGAATTGAGTCAATTATTGTTTACTAACGCAATAACTTCTGGATAAATACGAATGATAAATATAAATCAATACAAAATGACAAACTTATAAAATAATTTCCCTTAATTCATAAGTTAAGTCTAAACAACATTTCTTTTCAGTATTCAGTTTAAACTTTATCTAATAATGCAATGTCACATCAAATTCGACGCTAACTATATATACAAATCAAAATTTGCTAAGGATCACCTTTTTAACATTGCATATTTCAGTCCTATTATTATCATATTAAAATCATATTTCCGCTTACGATACACCTGTACGGGGACCTCATAATCGTGTACTTAAGTGTACACCTTGCACGATAAGCACGTGGAAAAGCATATCAATGGCAATTTGGTGTTTTATGGCCATGTGCGTTCACTTAAACGTGTAAATCTACGATCTTACGTAACGACTTCCAGAATGCAACTGGTATGCGTGAAAGCACAAAAACTGTGAGAAACAGGTTGCATGATGCTGGGTTAAGATTACGGAGGCCAGCAATTCGCATTCCTTTTTACACAACGTCATATTCAAGAGCGTTTGCAATTGGTGCAGACCCGTGTCACATGGGCAGTTAATGATTGGACCCCGGTCCTCTTCACTGATGAGTCAAGGTTTTGTGTGGACTTCACGGACAGACAAACTAGGGTTGGAAAAGTCCAAATGAACGCTTAGCTCCAGCATGCGTTGCAGAACACGACCGGGGGTTCAGTCATTGTGTGGGCGGGAATAAGCGCTTAGGGGAAAATGGACCTACACATCATTTAAAACGGTACACTGACGACAGTAAGGTGAAATTTTTGACGTCCATGTACGCACGTACGCTAGCGCAGTCGGCCCTGTTTTCATTCTTATGGATAACAACGCCCGTGTACACAGAGCCCATATCACAAACCGATATCTTGAGGAGGCATTTTCAGTCCGCATGGATTGGCTAGCGAGGTGCCCGGATTTGAATCGAATTGAGTTTGCTTGGGATATGCTGCAGAAAGCATTTTCTTCACGCCACGTCCAACCAACAACAGTTTAGGAGCTAAGATATGCAATCATAGAGGAATGGGCCTAGATTCCTCATCGCAAGGTCCACAGGCTCATCAACAGCATGCGTCAGCGAAGCCAAGCCGTAATTTATGCCCGCAGATGGACACCATACTCAGTATTAAACATTGTGACCTCCAAAATGTTGATTTTCATCTAGCACACTCTTTCGCAACAGGCACACGTCAAGGAACACTTCCATTGTCATTACTTTCATAAAAATCAATTTATAACTAATTATTTTAAATTCCTTTCAATCAATTTTCACATTTTTTACAAATACACAAAAGGTACGCATTGTAGAAAAAGTGATCCTTAGCAAATTTCGAGTAGTATCTTATTTCAAGAAATATAAAATATGTTTTTTCTTTTACCTTCATCAACGCCATCACAAAATAATTTAAGAGCTTCTAATGTCGCTCTTATTCTATAGAAAGCATTCAACTCTTCTCTCCTTTTTGAAAGTGCGACTCTGATGTTTTCAGTGTTAAATTGCAGGCCGTCACAAAGTTGAAACAATACATCCTTATGATTCTCCATGGTCTGCAGCAGTTTGACGCATATTTTTCCATCTAGTAGCGCACAAACAAAGTCCTCCACTAAAGCATTCAACGAGTTGACGATTTCCTGGCATTCCTTATTCTGATCATACGTGATGCTCTCATGGCCTAAAACCAATTAAACGCATAAACAAGTATTATACCTTTAAGTTCCTATATTTTGTAAGTGAAGTACACCTCTTTGCAAATTGAAACATGTTTATCAGATGTAATTTCTGAAACAATTAAAGATTCGTACATTCAAAAAAGTTGTTTATCATGTATGGTATTTACATAAATATATATGTTGTCCGATTCAAATTTTATCCACAACATAGTCATGTTTTTATACTTTTTATACACATATTCTGAAATTATCTTAAAGTTACTGTACATACCACATACCAATTTATTTCCTATGTATTTCTATAATCATTTTAAGGATACTTTCTTTGCAATAACAACGAGCAGGGACTCCCTTTAATGTATGTTTATCTATTTTACGGCACATTGACACATAAGTGGCCATACTAAACTGAACACTAAAATTGATAATATAAGATTATTTAAACCAAAATAAAGGGTAAGCACTAGGTTTTAACATATGTTTGATAAAAAAGAAAAAGTAAGAAGTCAACTACACATTCTTAAAAATTCTCTTTGATATACCTGTCCAACGTTTCAGCTCATTAATTAATCTTAGAATACAGATTTATTTCTTTTTAGTAGTCGATCAATGTTTTGGAAGGAACTGAATAAAAAAAGTTCTGAAAGTGAATTTATCTGGTCATATATATCACGAACATCTGCAAGATTAAGGATAAAATATACAACTTTGAACAAGATATTTTTGTAAAACATGTATGCCTCTATCGGCAGCCAATTTGTCATGTGATCAGGTTATTATGCATGACTTCTGACCCAGTGAACAAGCAATTAATAAGGGTTATCTAGTATCTACTGGTCATGACTAGTCACAAGGTAATAATCATTGTGACCCCATAGGTTGTGTGCAGCAATTTAAGTTATTAAAAATCTTACCAGATAATATATACATAAATTGTGTGAATCACATAGGCCTCATTAATGACAGCCAAGTTGTTATATTACATAAGACCTTCAAATGTGTATACCAAAAGCACATAAAAATATCAACCAAGGCAACTTGAGTTGTTGAGTTATTGGTCAGAAACAGTCATTAAGTACAAGGTCACTATGACATTGACCCCTTGACCCCAAAATCAATAGGGGTCATCTACTGGTGATGACCAATCATCATACCAAGTTTGAAGTTCCTAGGCCTAAGGGTTCTTTAGTTATTGACCGGAAACCGTTTTTACCTACAAGGTCAATGTGACCTTGACCTTCGACCCCTTGACCCCAAAATCAATAGGGGTCATCTGCTGGTAATGACCAATCATCATACCAAGTTTGAAGTTCCTAGGACTAAGGGTTCTTTAGTTATTGATCGGAAACTGTTTTAACCTACAAGGTCAATGTGACCTTGACCTTTGACCCCAAAATCGATAAGGGTCATCTGCTGGTCATGACCAATCATCATACCAAGTTTGAAATTCATTTGCCTAAGCGTTCTTTAGTTATTGATCAGAAACCGTTTTTACCTACAAGGTCAATGTGACCATGACCTTCCCCCTTGACCCCAATATCAATAGGGGTCATCTGCTGGTCATGACCAATCATCTTACCAAGTTTGAAGTCTCTAGGCCTAAGGTTCTTTAGTTATTGATCGGAAACCGTTTTTACCTACAAGATCAATGTGACCTTGACCTTTGACCTTTGACTCCTTAATCAATAGGGTCATCTGCTGGTTATGACCAATCATCATACCAAGTTTGAAATTCATTGGCCTAAGCGTTCTTTAGTTATTGATCAGAAACCCTTTTACCTACAAGGTCAATGTGACCATGACCTTCCCCTTGACCAAATATCAATAGGGGTCATCTGCTGGTCATGACCAATCATCTTACCAAGTTTGAAGTCTCTAGGCCTAAGGGTTCTTTAGTTATTGATCGGAAACCGTTTTTACCTACAAGATCAATGTGACCTTGACCTTTGACCCTTTGACTCCTTAATCAATAGGGGTCATCTGCCGGTCATGACCAATCATCATACCAAGTTTGAAGTTCCTAGGCCTAAGTGTTTTTTAGTTATTGATCGGAAACCGTTTTTACCTAAAAGGTCAAGGTCAGCTTTGACTCCTTGACCCCAAAATCAATAGGGGTCATCTGCTGGTCATGACTAATCATGATATCAAGTTTGAAGTTCCTAGGCCTTAGCGTTCTTAAGTTATTGATCGGAAACAGTTTTTACCTAAAAGGTCAATGTGACATTGACCTTTGACCCCTTGACCCCAAAATCAATAGGGGTCATCTGCTGGTCATGACTAATCATGATACCAAGTTTGAAGTACCTAGGCCTAAGCGTTCTTTACTTATTGATCGGAAACCGTTTTCACCTACAAGGTCAATGTGACCTTGACCTTTGACCCCTTGACCCCAAAATCAATAGGGGTCAACTGCTGGTTATGACCAATCATCATACCAAGTTTGAAGTTCCTAGGACTAAGGGTTCTTTAGTTATTGATCGGAAACTGTTTTAACCTACAAGGTCAATGTGACCTTGACCTTTGACCCCAAAATCGACAGGGGTCATCTGCTGGTCATGACCAATCATCATACCAAGTTTGAAATTCATTGGCCTAAGCGTTCTTTAGTTATTGATCAGAAACCGTTTTTACCTACAAGGTCAATGTGACCATGACCTTCCCTCATGACCCCAATATCAATAGGGGTCATCTGCTGGTCATGACCAATCATCTTACCAAGTTTGAAGTCTCTAGGCCTAAGGGTTCTTTAGTTATTGATCGGAAACCGTTTTTACCTACAAGATCAATGTGACCTTGACCTTTGACCCTTTGACTCCTTAATCAATAGGGGTCATCTGCTGGTTATGACCAATCATCATACCAAGTTTGAAATTCATTGGCCTAAGCGTTCTTTAGTTATTGATCAGAAACCCTTTTTACCTACAAGGTCAATGTGACCAAGACCTTCCCCCTTGACCCCAATATCAATAGGGGTCATCTGCTGGTCATGACCAATCATCTTACCAAGTTTGAAGTCTCTAGGCCTAAGGGTTCTTTAGTTATTGATCGGAAACCGTTTTTACCTACAAGATCAATGTGACCTTGACCTTTGACCCTTTGACTCCTTAATCAATAGGGTCATCTGCCGGTCATGACCAATCATCATACCAAGTTTGAAATTCATTGGCCTAAGCGTTCTTTAGTTATTGATCAGAAACCCTTTTTACCTACAAGGTCAATGTGACCAAGACCTTTGACCCCAAATCGATAAGGGTCATTCTGCTGGTCATGACCAATCATCATACCAAGTTTGAAATTCATTGGCCTAAGCGTTCTTTAGTTATTGATCAGAAACCGTTTTTACCTACAAGGTCAATGTGACCATGACCTTCCCCTTGACCCCAATATCAATAGGGGTCATCTGCTGGTAATGACCATATCATCATACCAAGTTTGAAGTTCCTAGACTAAGGGTTCTTTTAGTTATTGATCGGAAACTGTTTTACCTACAAGGTCAATGTGACCTTGACCTTTGACCCCAAAATCGATAAGGGTCATCTGCTGGTCATGACCAATCATCATACCAAGTTTGAAATTATTGGCCTAAGCGTTCTTTAGTTATTGATCAGAAACCGTTTTTACCTACAAGGTCAATGTGACCATGACCTTCCCGTTGACCCCAATATCAATAGGGGTCATCTGCTGGTCATGACCAATTCATCTTACCAAGTTTGAAGTCTCTAGGCCTAAGGGTTCTTTAGTTATTGATCGGAAACCGTTTTTACCTACAAGATCAATGTGACCTTGACCTTTTGACCCTTTGTCTCCTTAATCAATAGGGGTCATCTGCTGGTTATGACCAATCATCATACCAAGTTTGAAATTCATTGGCCTAAGCGTTCTTTAGTTATTGATCAGAAACCCTTTTTACCTACAAGGTCAATGTGACCATGACCTTCCCTTGACCCAATATCAATAGGGGTCATCTGCTGGTCATGACCAATCATCATTTACCAAGTTTGAAGTCTCTAGGCCTAAGGGTTCTTTAGTTATTTGATCGGAAACCGTTTTTACCTACAAGATCAATGTGACCTTGACCTTTGACCCTTTGACTCCTTAATCAATAGGGGTCATCTGCCGGTCATGACCAATCATCATACCAAGTTTGAAGTTCCTAGGCCTAAGTGTTTTTTAGTTATTGATCGGAAACCGTTTTTACCTAAAAGGTCAAGGTCAGCTTTGACTCCTTGACCCCAAAATCAATAGGGGTCATCTGCTGGTCATGACTAATCATGATATCAAGTTTGAAGTTCCTAGGCCTTAGCGTTCTTAAGTTATTGATCGGAAACAGTTTTTACCTAAAAGGTCAATGTGACATTGACCTTGACCCTTGACCCCAAAATAAATAGGGGTCATCTGCTGGTCATGACTAATCATGATACAAGTTTGAAGTACCTAGGCCTAAGCGTTCTTTACTTATTGATCGGAAACCGTTTTCACCTACAAAGGTCAATGTGACCTTGACCTTTGACCCCTTGACCCCAAAATCAATAGGGGTCAACTGCTGGTTATGACCAATCATCATACCAAGTTTGAAGTTCCTAGGACTAAGGGTTCTTTAGTTATTGATCGGAAACTGTTTAACCTACAAGGTCAATGTGACCTTGACCTTTGACCCCAAAATCGAAGGGGTCATCTGCTGGTCATGACAATTCATCATACCAAGTTTGAAATTCATTGGCCTAAGCGTTCTTTAGTTATTGATCAGAAACCGTTTTTTACCTACAAGGTCAATGTGACCATGACCTTCCCTCATGACCCCAATATCAATAGGGGTCATCTGCTGGTCATGACCAATCATCTTACCAAGTTTGAAGTCTCTAGGCCTAAGGGTTCTTTAGTTATTGATCGGGAAACCGTTTTTTACCTACAAGATCAATGTGACCTTGACCTTTGACCCTTTGACTCCTTAATCAATAGGGGTCATCTGCTGGTTATGACCAATCATCATACCAAGTTTGAAATTCATTGGCCTAAGCGTTCTTTAGTTATTGATCAGAAACCCTTTTTACCTACAAGGTCAATGTGACCATGACCTTCCCCCTTGACCCAAATATCAATAGGGGTCATCTGCTGGTCATGACCAATCATCTTACCAAGTTTGAAGTCTCTAGGCCTAAGGGTTCTTTAGTTATTGATCGGAAACCGTTTTTACCTACAAGATCAATGTGACCTTGACCTTTGACCCTTTGACTCCTTAATCAATAGGGGTCATCTGCCGGTCATGACCAATCATCATACCAAGTTTGAAATTCATTGGCCTAAGCGTTCTTTAGTTATTGATCAGAAACCCTTTTTACCTACAAGGTCAATGTGACCAAGACCTTTGACCCCAAAATCGATAAGGGTCATCTGCTGGTCAT